AAACAAAATAGTTTGACACCACCAAGGGATCACAATGGAGCTACAGTGGTGGACTCCAACTACAAGGAAATTGCCAAAATGACAGAAATGTAATTCAGAATATAAATGGCAAATAAGATGGATGGAATTGAAGAGAAGGCTGAAAACCAACAAAAAGAAGCCAAAAACAAATTTCAGAAAATTAATGAAGTCACTAAAGAGCTAGACAATATAATCAAACTTAAAGAAATGAAAGAGTCATTTAGGGAACTTCACAACACAGCAGAAAGCATCAGCAACAGATTAAACCAAGGAGAAGAAAGTAAGAAAGTTATCTGAGAGCTTGAAGACAAGGCTCTTGAGCTAGCCCAGTCTTGCAAAGAGGCAGAGTAGAGTATAAAGAAGTTTGAGCAATCACTGAGAGAGATATGGGACTATGTGAAGCCAACTAACATTTGAATTATAGGTGTCCCTGAGGGAGAGGAAGAAAGAGCTAAAAGCATGGAAAATCTATTTGAGGGAGTTATTGAGGAAAACTTCCCTGGTATTGCCAGAGATTCAGGCATTCAGATATAAGATGGACATCAAATACCAGGAAAATTCATAGCAAATAAGACATCTCCAAGATACATAGTAATCAACTGGGCCAAAGTCAAAATGAAGGAAAAAATTCTGCAACCAGAATTCAAGCAACAACTGACCTACCAAGGAAAATCCATCAGGCTAACAGCAGATTTCTCAGCAGAAACATTACAAGCCAGAAGATATTGGGCCCCTTCTTCAATCTTCTTAAATAGAACAACCACCAGCCTAGACTCTCATATCCTGCAAAACTAAGTTTTCCATATGATGGAGAAATTAAGTCTTTTCCAGACATGCAAACACTGAGGAAATTTGTCATAACCATACCTGTCCTGCAGGAAATACTCAGAACAGCATTATAGACGAATCAGCACAATAGACAGTGTAGAATCACCCACCAAAGCTAAAGCTCACAACTCCCATAAAACAATAGCACAAGAGGAGGAAAAAAAGCAACAAGGTACTACCCAACATGATGAACAGAATAGCATCCCACATATCAATTCTATCTCTTAATGGCAACAGTTTGAATGTGCCACTCAAAAGATACATGCTGGCTGAATGTATGAAAAAACACAACCCAAGTATCTGCTGTCTCTAGGAAACACATCTAAACCACAAAAATGCACACAGACTCAATGTGGAATAATGGAAAAAAATATTCCACACAAATGGATACCAAAAGAGAGCAGACATAGCCATTCTCATATCAGATAAAATTGACTTTAAATCAACAAACATAAAGAAAGACAAAGAGGGTCATTATGTAATGGTCAAGGGAGCCATTCAACAAGAAGACATAACAATCCTAAATGTTATTATATATGTACCTAACACAGGAGCTCCCGGATACATAAAGCAAATTTTACTAGAGTTAAGCAAAGAAATAAATAGCAGCATCATAATTGCTGGGGACTTTGACACCCCTCTGTGGGAGCTGGACAAATCATCAAAGCAGAAAATAAATAAACACTGGACCTAAACCAGACTCTAGACCAAATGGACCTAGCAGACATTTATAGAACATTCTACCCAAAAACTACTGAATAAACATTCTTCTCAGAAGCAGATGGGACATTCTCCAAGACTGATCATATCTTAGGCCATAAAGCAGGCCTCAATAAATTCAAAACAATTGAATCCACACCATGTATCTTCTTACACCACAATGGAATAAAACTAGAAATCAATCACAAACCTACACAAACTCATGAAAATTAAACAACCTGATCCTGAATGATTATTGGGTCAAGAATGAGATTAAGATGGAAATCAAAAGATTCTTTGAACTGAACAACAAAGGGGACACAGCTATCAAAATCTATGGGACTCAGCAAAAGCATTCCTCAGAGGAAAATCCATCAAAAAGAATTTTTGTTGAATCAAAAAGACAGAAAGATCACAAATTAACAACCTGATGTCACATCTCAAGGAACTAGAAAAGGAAGAACAAACCAAACCCAAAGCCAGCAAAAGAGAAGAAATAACAAAGGTCAGAGCAGAACTAAATGAAATGTGAAACAAAAAAATAATACAGAAGATCAATGAAACCAAAAATTGGTTCTTTGAAAAGATAAGATTTTGTTTCTTACATTCAAATATTTGCTCCATCTGGAATTTATTTTGAAGCAGGGTATGAGGTGTGGATCCAGCTTTATTTTTTTTCCAAAGGCCCAGCCAGTGGTCCTAGCACCATTTATTGAACAATTCATTTTCTCCTCACTGATTTGAAGTGACTCATTTATCATATGCACTTGGATCTATTCCTGGACTCTGTTCTATTCACTCATCTGTCTTCCTTTTCCTGGGCCAGTCCGACTTTCAATTAATTTCTGTGGCTATATCATGGATTTCAGAATCTGGTATCCAAGCCCCTAGTATTAACTCTTCTTTTTCTGAATTTTCCTGACTATCCTTATATGCTTATCCCTCCAGATAAATTTTAGTGTCATTTTAATTTCTAGAGTAAAGCCTCTTGTGATCTTGAATGGATGTGCAAAATAATATATATCAGAAAAGACTGCCAAAAAGTAAGCCCTATCCTAGACAAAAATAAAAAAACTGTTGTACTATTTGGAACTATTATTAGAAAAGAAATGTCTCTAAAAGTATCATCATCATCCTAATTCACTTTTTCCCTAGGAAATAAGGGGTTTAATATCACTTGAACTAAATAAGTTCTTAGTTGTATATAACAGAAATCTTTTCAGGTATGATTTCTACCCCCTAAATCTTCCTGGTCTTCAAAAAATAATTTATCCAACTTCATTAAAAATGATTTAGAATCTGGTGGATAGTTAGAGACAGTTATGCCCAGTGCTATATTACTGGTAAAAGGTAAATGGAACTTTTCTCTCAACATAACTAAAAACGTGGTTCCTTATTTTAAGCTAATTTTAACATTGAACACTACAAACCTGAAGATTTCGAATAGCAAAATGAAGGAAGTACTATAAATTTACTAAGATAATTAGCCATGGATTAAGTACTTTCTTTCAAAACTCTAATATAATGGCTTCTTTATCCTCACAATATTATCATGAAGTAGACAAGAGCAACTAGTATATCAATTTCCAGTTTCTCTCTTTTTTTGTTAACCTCCAGTTGCTTTCTTTTCTTTCTTTCTTTCTTTCTTTCTTTCTTTCTTTCTTTCTTTCTTTCTTTCTTTCTTTCTTTCTTTCTTTCTTTTTTTTTGTTTTGTTTTGTTTTGAGACAGAGTCTCATTCTCTTGCCTGGGCTAGAGTGCCATGGCGTCAGCCTAACTCACAGCAACCTCAAACTCCTTTGCAAGGGATCCTCCTGCCTCAGCCTCCCATGTAGCTGGGACTACAGGCACACACCACCGTCCGTGCCTGGCTAACTTTTTCTATTTTTAGTTGTTTGGCTAATTTCTTTCTATTTATAGTAGAGACAGAGTCTCGCTCTTGATCAGGCTGGTCTTGAACTCCTGATCTTAAGCAATCCTCCTGCCTTGGCCTCCCAGAGTGCTAGGATTGCAGGCATGAGCCACTGCACCCGGCCTCAATCTCCAGTTTCTAATAAGGAAATGGAGACAAACACTGGTTAGTGATATATGCCTATGGTCATCTCCCAAACAACCAGTCAGCTCACTGTTTGGTGACTGCATGGCTCAAGGCTCCAAACCCATCTAATGTTTTCTCCTGCAAAGTGAGTCAGCAGACAGGGACCTATCAAACAAAGGAAGAGATTCAGGCATCTCTATTACCTGAGGGTTGCTTTGCTTCTGGAACTCAGCACTTAAGTGCAGCTACTGTGACCTCCATTGGAGTATTCAGGACCTACCCACCTGGTAGGATCACTTGGGGGCAGACAGCCATGGAGAAGCTGCCAGTATCACCCTCTGTGCCACCCACTTCCTCTTTCCTGGCACTGTCAGAAAGCTCTGGCATTGTGCACATATTGCCTAAACCTATACTTAACCTGTGTCATCCAGGTAAGCATTGTTATCTCTTGTAATGGAATCCCTCAAGACTCTGACAGAAGCATAGATTTTATAACATTATGGAGCCTGTTTACCTCAAGTCAGAGAAATCCTAGACTGAACCATGGATGGCGTTTGTTTCTTTCCATGCATCAGAATTGCTCACACCATTTGAAGAAAATGGGGCAAAAATATGGTTAATATCAGGTTTGTGTAAAAAATGTTTTATTTGCCTTCCCTTCTCTGCCATCATTGGGAATTTTAGCTTTCAGACAGTAGCTTTTAACACTACTGAACTAGGGACTAAGCTGTCTATGCTCTTGGTGAAAGTTAAAAGGTTATGTCTTTCCAATGATTGGCCTTGAAGGTTTCAAATGACCAGAAGTAGTGGATTAGTGTAATCAGGAGACAGCAGCACATGGGTGGGCTTTGCAGGTTGTCAAAAAAGCACTGTCCTGGTAATGGTCTGTGTGCTCTCCAGCTCCATCTACAAAGGCAGAAGCCCAGATTACTCCCTTCCCTGGGGTCAGTAATGATGCCTCCTTTATAGGAGGGCATGACAGTGCTCCAAACAGAGCCTGTGTGCAGCTCTGTCTCTAAAACCTTGAACTTGAAGATGAAATTTACTTGCTGGCATTATTTACGACACCAGAAAAATAGATGTTCTTTAGGGGTGCTCAGATTCAAACATCATATCCCAGAAGCCATAACCTTGACTGATTTACCAAAACAAAACTGCAGGAATGGCACCACATCTGCTTCTATGACCTAGGAACTGAATCAAACATTTATTAACAGTGACCTAATTACTGGTTTTTGTTTGTTTGTGTTGTTTTAGTTCTGTAAGCAAATTATTTTATTAGGACTTTCATCCTAGATTATTCCAGTACTCAAGAACATCATTATTTTTCATTGTTTGGGTTTCCAATGTAATGCTTTAAAATGCAAGCCAATAAAATAAGGAAATTTTGATAAGGGCCCTTTTTATGTCTTTCAGATATCTCACACAAAGCTTTCCGCAGATGATGCATGGAAGTAAGTGATTAGTATTTTTTTACAATTGTTTTACTAAGAATTATATTTTTACCTTAACAGTTGAAAAATGAATGAAGTCATCATTTTATTTGTAAATTTTCCAGGATAGAGAAGGTGGAGTAAGATAGCCATGTGTGCACAAAGAGACCATAGACCAAAACTGTATGAATTTTGTCTGTTTTTTACAGCATGATCCATGTATTCCCACAAAGCTGGATTAATATATCCTTCAGAATATGGTTATGTCAAGTTACTATTTATTTTAGGCACATGATACATCTGGTTTGCTTTATATGCTGTTTCCTGTGTGTTCCAGTACTTATTGTGGGGCCTGTGAGTGCTACATGAAATGAAATAAAAATGAAAAGTTCTTCCTTTTTTGCATTATAGGAATCAATCATGATTGTATTCCTACTCATAATAGGAAATACTTATTGCATTTGTGTACCAATTTATACTTTCAAAGTACTTCCACATAGCTGAACCCATTTGAGATGTGTTATTATTATATATACAAAATAGATTAATATCATAAAGCATATTTTGTTTATATCTATACAAGTACCATTTTAGACTGATGACGAATTCAATCTTCTCTCTACGTGGCCTAAGTTCAAAGTCTGCTAATTACATAGAATCTTAATTAGTTACTTTGGATTTGGGGCTGTAAAAACCATAACTAAGCTCTTGTACCCTTTTGATTTTTATTCACTTCCCATTTCTTCAAGGGAACAAGTGTATTTTTTTTTAATGAGCTTCTAGAAATCATTCTTGTCTCCTGAGTTCAGCTTCCAACACACAGGCTAATAGCCCATGTAATTTTATTGCAGTCGCTTACCTGATATGGGCTTCAGCTTCGTCAGTGATAAATGAAGGGGTTTCATTCCATCTGTGGGAATGTTAGCACTAACATTCTAAGAATCCATCTCAAAGAAGCTGAACTCAAGCATGAGTATTTACTAGGCTGTGTAGGCTCAATTTTACACCTTCTCCAGCAGGGGGCACCCCCAGGGTTTGGATTGGGGCCTTTTCTGTAGAAATGCCGGGACAGCGGGAGAACCCAACAGGCATCAAAGGTGCCTTGGAAAGGTCACAATCCTGTGACTACTTACTACTCTACAGTGTTTTCTGATTGGTACCCTAGCTAGGGTACTGCCTGCTGTAACCAGTCCTAGAGATTTTGTGACTGATGGAACTGGGTGAAAGATGATGCTAACCAATATTTACAAAGAAATTTCATTCATAATTTCACCCTTTTCCCCATCATTGAGCCTGGGCCTCTCTCTTTTCCTCTAGGCCAGTGGTTCTCAATCTTGGCTGCCCTTTAAAATCACCTGGGAAGCTTTAAAAATTACTGATGCCCAGGTCCCATCCTGGAAACCTGTGTCAGTTTGCTAAGAATGCCATAACAAAATACCACGGACTGGGTGGCTTAAACAGCAGAAGTTTAACTTAATTTAATTTAAAAATAATAAATTTAAGAATTATTTTTAGAAAATAAATTTAATTTAATGTTTAGGAGGCTAAACATCCAAGATCAAGGTGTTGGCAGGTTTGGGTTGGCAGGTACTGGGGGTCCTCAAAGGAGGACTTCTACATGTGAATTTTGGGAGGACACAATGCAGCCCATGACACCCAGAAATGGTCATTTAATTGATCTGGGGTACAGGTTGGGAATTGGGATCTTTAAAAGCTCCCCAGTGATTTCTAACTTACAGCAAAGTTCAACAACCACTGCTCTAGGTTTTCTTCAAGGCACTTCTGCTCTATGACATTAAACCAAATAACTTACTACATTCTAGTGGTTTTTCTCTATCCCTGCTGAAAACTAAGCATCCAACTAAAAACTGAAATAGCCAGCTATCATCCTAATGTGCATATCTAAGATAATACTTAGGCCTATTCTTTCTTCTTATCCTATAATAGTTCTACAACTATTATAATTCTACATATACAACTCCAATTTATACAGTATCCCATAATAGTTCTACAACAATTTATACAGCTCATTCAGGAGCTTTTCATTGCCCCATGGATAATATACTATCCTTTGCATAGGCACCATCTACAGGATATCCTTTGACTTGAAAATGACATAAATTACTTGAGATCACCGACATTCTACTGTTTTTGACTTTTAAAACTGGCAGTTTCATATGATTCAGCCTAATAGTAATTATTATTCTGCAATAGGTACAAATAAGATAATGTATGTATTTTAAAATCTTACAGCCAGCCCTGGAATTACAGAGGGATTGTTATCTTAAATTTTCAAAGGAGGCAATTGAGGCTCACAGAGAATACATGACCTCCCCAGGAAAGCCAGGCGATGAAGTAGCAGATCAGGGCCTGGAACGCAGGTCTTCCCCAGGCCCATCAGTATTTCTTAGCCTCATCACTTAACTTGAAAAGACTCACACCACAACCACATATGGGAGAGCAAAGGGCTGAGAGGAATTGGGTTTGCTGATAGAATCCGGCTCCTCCTCTCAGCTGTCCCTTCCCCAAACCTGTGAGAAGGGAAAGAACAAAGAAAAACTTTATAATCGAAGCTTATCAACTGCTATATTTGAAATCCCCAATTGTTTCCTGTGAGCCAAGCCTGCTGTTTTGTTTTTTGTTTTTTTTTTTCTAAATCTGCAAGGGTTGAGAGCTTTTTCAGATGACCTCGTTTGCTTGTTTTAGCCTGCAGCAGGAGAGGATGTACAAGATGCACCGTGGCCACGAGTCCATGCATGTGGAGATGATCTTGATCTTCCTCTGCGCTCTGGTCATCACCCAGATAGTGCTGGTGCAGTGGAGACAGAGGCACGGCCGGTCCTACAACGTGAGTCACCCCTGGGGCTGCTGGAAGCCTGCTCTAGCCTGTCAGCTTGACTGTCCTTTCCAGGCCACATTCTTCCTTTGTTACTACTTTGAAGGAACTGCTTGGGTTTAAGTCAGTGGTTTTCACCAGGTGCAATTTCTCCTCTAAGAGATATTGGCCTTATTTGGAAGTATTTTTGATTGTCAGGACTTGGAGGGGTGGGAGAGTTGTACTGGCATCTTGTGGGCAGAGGCCAGGGTTGCTGGTCAACATCCTACAATGCAAGACAGCTCCCCACCACAAAAATTACCTGACTCAAAATGTCAATAGTGCCAAGGTTGAGAAACTGTGGTTTAAGTAAACCAATTTTCCTTTTGTGCATGAACAATTTCTGCCAACACCCAGGAAAAAGAGGATTAAGAATCAAAAGGTTGAGGCTGTCTGCTATGACTTGCATGTGTCCCCCAAAGTTCATGTGTTGGAGACTTGATCCCCCAATGCATCAGTGCTGGGAGGTGGGGCCTAATGAGAGGGGTTAGGCCATGAGGGCTCTGCCCTCCTGAATGAATGAATGCCATTACTGTGTGAGTGGGTTTATTATACAAGGAAGAGTTCAGCCCTCCCCTTCTCTCTTTCCCTGTCACCTTCTGCCATGACTTGATGCAGCAAGAAGGCCCTCACCAGATGCCAGCCCCTCTATCTTGGACTTACCAGCCTCCAGAATTGTGAGAAATAAAATTTCCAGTCTATGGTATTCTGTTATAGCAGCACAAAATGGACTAAGACAGAAAATTGGTACTGAGAAGTGGAGCTGTTGTTATAATAAATTCCTGAAAATGTGGGAGGGCTTAGAACTGGGTAACAGGCAGAGGCTGGAAGAGTTTGGAGGAGCAAGCTAGGAAAAGCCTGTGTTGCCATAAATGGAGTATTAAGGGCAATTCTGGTGAGGGCTCAGAAGAAGAAAAGAACTATGGAGAAAGTCTAAAACTTCTTAGAGATTACGTAAGTGATTATTATCAGAGTGTTGGTAGGCAGTAAAGGCCATTCTGATGAGGTCTCAGAGGGAATGAGGAACAAGGTATTAGAGACTCGAGTAAAAGCCATTCTTGTTATAAAGTCACAAAGAACTTGGCTGAATTGTGTCCATGCCTAAGGGCCTTATGGAAGGCAGATTAAAGAGTGATGAACTAGGATATTTGGTAGAAGAAATTTCTAAGCAAAATATCGAAGGAGCTGCATAACTTCTTTTAACTGAATATAATAAAATAAGAGAAGAGAGAAATGATTTAAAGATGGAATTTAAAATTAAAAGGGAAACAGAATATAAACGTTTGGAACATTTGCAGCTTAGCTATATAAAGAACAAAAAATCATGCAAGGGTGTGGACAAGTGACCCTTTGGACAAGGGGATTAGCATGGACAGAGAAAAGCCAGATGCTACTGGTCAAAGTGATGGAGAATGGCCCCAAAGGCCTACAGAGGGCTTGGAGGCTGCCCCTCCCATCACAGGCCTAAAGGCCTAGGAAGGCAGAATGGCTTCAGGGGATGAGGTTGGGGCTCCTTCCATGGGCTGGCTGCCCAGGACCACCTCAGGACTCTGCTCTCGGCATTCCAGCACAGTGCTCCTTGGCTGCCCTGACTGTGACACCAGCACACCTAGGTGCAGGTCGGTTTGCAGCTGTGGACAGTATAAGCTGTAAACCTTGGCGGCACTATTGTGCAGGCATGCACGGTGTATAGGCTATGAGGCCATGGCTGCCTCCACCTTGATTTCAAAGGATGTTGCAGACAACCCGAAAGCCCAAATAGAGACTTGTCACAGGGGCAGAGCTGCCACAGAAAGCCCCCACTAGGACAATGCCCAGTGGAATTGTGGGGTCCGAGCTGCCACAGAGGGTCCCCACTAGGTCTAGTGGAGCCATGGAGTCAAGGCTGCCCCCAGACTCCAGAACTGTAGAGCTACCAGCATGCAATTCCAGCCTGGGAGAGCTGTAGTCACAAGACTCCAACCCATCAGAGTTGTTGCATGGTTTGAGCCCAGTAAAGCCATTGGGGCAGGGCTACCTGAGACCTCAAGGGCCCAATCCCTGCCCCAGTGTGCTCAGAAAGTGGAACATGGAATCAAAGAAGTTTATTCTCAAGCCTTTGGATTCAGTATTATTCACCCTATTGGATTTTGGACTTGCTTGGGACCTGTTACTACTTTCTTCCTTCCTATTTCTCCCTTTTGGAATGGGAATGTCTATCCTATGCCTATCCCACAATTGTATTAGGTATTTGGAATTAGGTAGCCTGTTTAATTTCACAGACTTACAGCTAGAAGGAAGTTTGCCTCAGGTTGAACCATGCCTTGAGTCTCAACCATATCTGATTTAGATGAGACTCCATGTTTTTGTTTTTGTTGTTGTTGTTGTTATTTGTTTGTTTCTCTCTTTTTTGTTTTGTTTTTTGTATATGAGAAGAACATGAATTTGGGGGCCAGAGCAGAATGTTATGGTTTGACTGTATCTCCTAAAGTGCGTGTGTTGGAAACTTAATCTTCAATGCAACAGTGTTGGGAAGTGGGGCCCAATAAGATGTGACTAGGCCATGAGGGCTCTGTCCTCCTGAATGGATTAATGCCCTTATTGCAAGACTGAGTTCATTATGTTAGGAATTGGCTCCTTATAAAAAGACAAGTTTGGCCCCCTTTTCTCACTTTCTCTTACCCTCTTGCCTTCCACCATGGGAATAAGGCCCTCACCAGATACCAGCCCCTGGATCTTGGACTTCCCAGCCTCCAGAACCATGGCAAATAAATTTCTTTTCATTACAAATTACTGAATCCTTGGTATTCTATTATAGCAGTGCAAAATGAACTAAGACACTGTCTTCTGCTGTTTCATTAGCAATAAACTATTATGGCATTAATGGTTTGCATATCTGTGGAAACGCATTCATGCAAACACTGCACTGACTTCAGCAACACAGGACAAGATTCCATCTTCACAGAGCAGTCCCTCTCAAGCATTTCCACTGGACCTTTCCCATCCAGGGCCTTAGCGTCACACCTTAAGCCTGTTGGACCTGAGACATGGCCACTGCAATGTTTACAGCGGTAGTTCTGAAATCCTAGGGTGCATCAGAATTGCCTAGAGGACATGTTAAATCAAATTCCCAGGTCCTACCCTCAGAGTTTCTAATTCAGTAGGGGCCCAAGTATCACGTCTAACAAGTTCTCTGGTGGTGCTGGTGCTACTGGACCTGGGACCACTCTTTGAAAACTTCCCTTTGATACTCAAGCATGGCCTAAATGGAGAAATGCTGCAAAGGGAGAAGGTCCTCAATTAACTCTCTACTTGGTTCTGGATCTTGGACTGGTCATTGTATAAGACTTGCCTGCGACATATGAAGTGTTGGCTTAGACCAGCATTTCATTTGACTATTATCTGTCATTATTATTTCCTGTATAGTACAAGGTCTAAAGGAATTCTTTTGAGTTCTGTACAATATTTAAGTTTAGGCAATTTTGAATATTTTATTTAGAAACGGGAATCTTGTTTTTTTTTTTTTTTTAAGCAAATGTATTGGTTTTTTTGCCATGTCACCACTGTCAGTTAAAATACCCTTTATATTGTACTTGGATAATTTTTTAAGTGAATGATAATAGAATCATCCCTTACTGGTTATTCACTCATATCAAAGAAAAGCTCTTTAACTATATCTTAATTATGGTTTCCTTATCTGCAAAATGGAAATGCCTACAATAGAATTTCTGAAGTCTTTGCTTAAGAAGAAACTTGGATTCTTAAAGAATCAGCTTATGGTCTTATTCCATCCTTTCTTTATAATTAATAATTACCTTTGAAGTGGATGAGAAAAAACTATTCTGTTTCCATAGTAACACAGGTGTGGCTTTTGCATAGGAAGCTTCCTGCCCTTGAAAGGAAACAATGCCCCACGAGCCAGCTGACTTGCACTATATTGTCACACTCCTCTGCCATTTCTACTGGATGATTTTTGAGGTTGCTATATGCCAAAAAGACTTTGCCCTTGTCTTGTATTTGAAGCAGTTGCTCCCATGTCATGTTGTCTATAAGAAACTCAGACCATGTACTTAAGAGGAGAGGGACTAATTCAAAAAGCTCAGAACATTTTCAGACACAACTTCTAACAAATACATCCATCTTCTGAAGTGACTGTTCCTCTAGACAGAGAACGTTCTGTGATCTGTAGAAGCTGTGAACATCAGAGCATCTTATTATAAATACCTAAAGCAAAGGAAATGGTTTGTTTAAAAACATAACATTAACTGCTCCTATGTGATGCCAAAAAGTACAGACAGAAAGTGGATGGAAGGTAGAAAAGTCTTATTTTGTATGGGATACTACTAAATACCTGGCTGTTTCCAAATAGTCACATTTTTAGAACAGTATAGACCAAGCATCTGGATATTTGAATTTTCTCTTTCCAGCTGGTGATCTTGACATGGTGTAGACATAGGCAAAGCCTCAAGAGTTAAATTATTTCCAAATGCTTTGAACAGCATTTAATTAAAAATAAAATTTTGTTTAACATTACCCTCTCCACCTTCTTTTATGGGCACTTACTTTCCATATCTGCCCAAAGTAGGGAGGAAGGTGCCAAAAAAGAATGTTTCTACTACTCTTCAATTCAATATGTGATGACTACATTCACAGAATTTGAGTTTCAAGCACACTATTAACTTGCCTCAATACACAGCAAATAATCTGCCAGATTGAAGCATTCTCTATTTAAATCAAACTTCCTGCCTATTAATAGCTGTAAAACACTAGAAAATATTACTGTGCCAATAACACATTGTGTCTCCTCAAATCTTTTTTAAATAAGGCAAGGCGCAAATATTCACATATATACTTATATACATACATACATAGCATTGCAGAATCTCCTTTAATAGTTTAAATAACAAAATCAACTACCTGTATTGACCTGGAGATAGAAAAGTGGACCAACTGAATTTCTAAGGGCCCTTCCAATGCCAAGATTCCATACTTTTTTTCTTGTTTGATTCATGTCCACACTTTCCTTCATAGGTTTTGTACAGATAGCAACACTGTTTCCTAGAGTCACTTATTTCCATGAAAATTTCCTGCTTACCTCTTGAGCTTCCCCCTGGTCTCCCTCCACCCCCACCCTACACAAATGGTTACAAATAATTCGAGATTTGCAGCAAAGGAAATGAATATAACATAACTTCTTTCTCTAGTTTTTTAATATAGCATGGCTCATTCATCATTCTGTACAATTAGATAAATGAAAGGTATCTTTGCTTTGACTTGATCTGCAATTCTTTCCAGTTTTATTACATGCATGGCAACAAGGAAAAAAAATGATACCTTTGGGCAGCATCTGATTCGTCAGGAAATCCCTCCTGCTATGATGAGTGGGGTGGGGAGAACACGGGTGATGTGATTCAGATGCCCGGGCTGCCCGTTACCAGTAATGCAGATGTGTTTTATAAGCACATGCCCAGATGGTGACCCTCTGGCATTAATAATGTGTTTCAGATGCTAGGCTTCCTCCTTGCATGTATGCGCCTCGATTTCGCATATTTCATGTGTTTATTTATGAGGCACAACATTCCTACATTTCATATGTGGCAGTTACTATTAAAAATGAGAAGTTTTAACTGCTCTGGAAATTGATAAAGAATCTTTTACATTGCCATTGAAATGTGGCCCTCATAGGGAATTGACTTCCCGTACAATTACTGAATTCACAATGCAAATCTCTGACCTTTGTGTGTTGAGAAAATATAGTCCTGAGTATACACTTTAAATATATTTAAGAAATTAAATATTTGTGTACATAATACATTATAACATTTTTTTTTTGCTCTCCTTTCATTTCTGATCTCCAAAGCCTATTTTTTAAAGTAGCGTGTCTATACATTGAACATTGTTATTCACTACTAATTAAATCCAGGTATCAAGGAAGAAAAATTTGCGATCTTTTAGAAATGGAGGATATTTAAGGATAGGACTTAAGGATAGGGAGAGAATTAGTTTTATAAAAATGTAGTCCAACTGTAGCTCCAAACTATCATAGACCGTGACTCCTTAGATTTGAAGAAATGTATTAGTCTTAGAAATTTTAGCTTAGATCTAAAGTATAAAATATAGCAATAGCATAGTAGTTCCACTGACTTAAAATGAACTGACTCAACTAATCTATTCAAAAAAACTCTTAACTTTTTATTCAAAAAGTTTTGGTATTTTTATGGGGAAATGTAAAAACTAATCCAATTCTTAAAACAGAGAGATGAAAAATGCAAATGACAGATGATCAGATCTTGAAAGACTTGAGTTCATGTCCATTTCCTTCTTTACTGTCAGAAGTAATGCACTTTAAAAAGTCAGCAAATATATAATTTATGATAGAGAACTATCTCCATAATCAGCTACCAAAATACTGATAAAATGTTTTTAAGGGACTGTGTACTTTTATTATCAATAGCAGGAGGTCAAAGTTGCTAATGCTGAGTGCTGAAAGGAACCACATCTTGAGTCTTGGTTACTTAGCATATATATGATTTTGGGTCCTCATGAAAACTATTCTACTTCCTTAAGTAAAGGAATTTATCTTTATTTAAGGAAGTAAGTATATTTGTCTCAATTTCATAAATAAAGGTGCCAACTTGTTCCTTAATTTGAACCATACTTACAAAATTGGATGGAAAATTAAAGCAATTATCTGACTACTTCAGGCAAGAGTAAAGAATATTTACTTTTTCCCGAATGTATTCCCTGAAATTAAAAAGCAAAAAAGTAGGTTATAGGATTTTTTTCCTGAACTCTGTTGATATCAACCTCAGATTTACTCTGTGTATTTTTACTCAAATGCAGATGTATAACAAGAAGTCTGGGTTTCTCTGAAAGAAGATTCAGAGCAATTCTAAGAGGACTTCAGATCATTTATGGGGATAGAGGAATAAAAGAGGATTGATGACCCTGGGAAATGTCCTCTTATTTGACATTGAAAGAATGGCTGTGGCCTTCCCTTTTTCATTGACATCTTGAAGTCCTGTCAAATAGTTTTGGTTATTGGTCTTAGATGTTATAACCAAGGCCTTATTAAAGGAGCCAACAATATATCCAAAAACTCTTTTTTTCTAAGCCTCCCCTTTTTATCACAAAGATTAAGAAGATAAAGAAAACAAGTGGCAGATCAATGATACAGGCCACAAAGGGGCTATGCACAGAGGAACAGGAACTGCTGCAGAGTGCACTGGGACAGCAGGTAGAAAAGATCCCAGAAGCTGCTTTGAAACACTGACCTCCACTTCCTCCTTTGGCGTCACTGTCACTTTCACATGGGCGCACGATAGTGACAGCAGCCCTTGTCCCCACAGAGCGCAGTAGTGTGTTCAGAGTGCTTTCCATCCATGATCCCAGTGATCCCCCCTCCGTCTGCACTGGGAAGCAGTGCCACCATTGGTGTCCCCAGTTTTACTACCAACGCAAGGCTCGCTTGTCCGAAATCACGTAGTTGTTGAGGCCCAGAATGGCTTTCACCTGAAGAAGTCAGATGAAAGCAAGTGACAGAAGATGGATTCTTTCCCAGATAATTGTGCCGATTCTCTGCATGGCTTGGCATGTCCAGGAACAGCTCACAGTTTGATGGTGGACAAGTTGCATGGTATAGACAGGATGGTGAAGGTGGTTTCCCCCAGAGAAGCTTCTGGATCATTTAATAATTCAGGCCCTCAGTCACTGAAAGAGACTTTCTGTTCATTTCTCTGACAGCTGGTGACCTTGCTGCAGATGTGGGTTGTCCCTTTGTATTTTACAATAAAACTTTACTGGTGGAGGTTTCTGTCTATGTGGGGGATGTTCTCAGTTGTCACCAGTTATATCCTCTTCAGAGCTACCCGGAAACCCCTCTCAGGGAGAACACCACGGTATGTATTCCACTCATTCCTTCTTCGCTATCTCATTTATTGTAGACATTAAAAAGTATATTTGATGTTCATTTTCCTGGGTTGGGGAAGGGATTTATACTTCTTTTACACCTCTTTTCCCTTTGGTAGCAAAACTATTTGGAGATTAGCTATGCTGCTCTTAGTTCACCTTCATTATTTAATAGTGATTCAGACATGCCTGTAGAATGTATTTCTTCAAGGCTGGGCACGGTGGCTCACGCCTGTGATCCCAGCACTTGAGCAGGCCAAGGCAGGAGGATCACTTGAGTCCAGGAGTTTGAGGTTGCAGTGGGCTATGATGATACCACTGTACTCTAGCCAGTGCAACAGAGCAAGACCCTGTCTCAGGGACAGAAAAAAAAAGGACTATTTCTTTAAATATTAGCTAGTGAAGGCCAGGAGAAAGAGAAGTGAAAGTGTTGCTTAAAATTTCTAGAGCACTGTTTGCATGCTTATTTTTAGCTTTATTCCACTGTAAGTTTAGTCACATACAATTTAGAATAGAGCAAGAGTTGAAAGCTGTGTTTCAACCTGAAAATATCTAACAAATTATAAGTAATAGACAACTTATTATTCTCATAACAAATGAGGCTATACTATTCTGATGGCTACTTCAGTTACCATTGCCAACCTCTATAGATTAACATAATTCCATTGTATCATTCACAAATCTTTCCAAAGTCTTATAATCACATAACGTGCCTACAAGCTTGCTTTTGCTCTCTTTGTTCTGTGGACAAGATCTGAATCTTCATCAAGATAAAATCGAAATGAGATAAAGAGAAAGTATGCACAAAGTGTAAAATAGTAATAAGACAATACTGAATTCTGACTTCTTTGGAGAGTAAATCATAAACTCCTGTAAAATATTTTTATGGTTATTTAGCCATTTATTAATTTGTTTACATCCTCTAAAAAGGGGGAGAGACAAATATCAACTTTTCCTTCTGGTCTGGTAAAGGAAAAATATGTGGGGAGAGAAATCACATAAGTAAATGTGATTATAAAAATTGAAATTCAAATAAATGAATTCAGGTTTATGAGTATTTTAGTTTAATTCCACTCTGGGAAGAGCTTTGGAATGGTGTTAAGAGACCTTCTAAACTGGCCGGTCTGAGGCCTTGGACAGCCTGGTAGAGTATGAGTTTCCCCTTCAGTAAAATGGACATATGGCACCCTTTCTCCTTCTTACAAAATATTCTAAGTTATTTAAGATTAGTGAAAGTGCTCTGAATTTTGGGCGAATCCAAATGTTTTCATTCCCTGGATATAATCTATATTGCATTGCAGTGAGAATGGTTCACTTTCCCACTGTATAATGAATTGCCCTAGCTGAAGGCAATGTTCTGTGCATACCAGTTCACTCTCAGTGCAGAGGAATTTTATTACAAGAAATACCCAAATGCTGCCTTATTGCCCTTGGTGGCTCATATATGCCAGGATGCCACGCCCTCTCTTTCTCGCCCACTGCATGTTGCTGCCTGCACAGCTCCAAGCCCTAGCTATGGGGCACAGTACCAGAGAAGGGGAAATGAGCTTCCTCTCTGCTATAATCAGGTAGTCTGTCAAGCAGTGAAGTTCAGGCTCAAAGATAAGCAACCTGCTAGTCACAAGGGCTGGGCCTGACCACATCAATTCCAACCTAAGGCCGAGCTTGCCTGGTGGAGGCTGCTCAGAAGTAGTTTCTTATCTGGTTTATCTGCCTTCCAGTGTAAGTCTGAGTAGCAAGGAAGTTCTGGACTCTGCTGTCCTTGGAAACTTGTGCCCCCCATGAGCAGGAAGATTGGGGTAGAGGGTGTTGAGATTTGGAAAATCTAACACATCCATAACAACAATATGACATATTAAGTATTTAATGGACCAAGTCTTTTAAACTTTAATACATTAACTCACATAATCTTCAGAGCAACTTTAGGAACTAGAGTTATCATCCTCACATTATAAATGAGGCAATCATAGGAAGAAATGCCAAGTTGATGGACCAAGGTCCCACGGGAAGTAAACTGACCAAAGACTACTTGACTGCAAAGCCCTTGCTCCCAACAGCATGTTGTGGCTTAATTAAATCAACAAATCATTTTTGCACTGAGAAACCATGCAGTCTAAAAAGTTGTTAGTCCTGGAATATCTCTAATGCTGGCACAACTTTGAGAGGGGCCCCTCAAGGCAGGGAGATATGTGCCAAGTATGTGTTTTGTTCAAGGAAGCCACACTCTGGTGCTGCCTGGCCCGGGGGAGAACTGGGGAGGCTCCCTCAGAGCTTGCCTAGTTCCCCAGTGTCGCCCCTCTCAGCGGATAAACTTCCGCCTTGATCTGGCTACTCTGGGTAACGATCCAAACTGCTGAGCGCTGGCAAATCCAAAGAATCAATGGCTCCAGGGTCACTGTGGCAGAAAGATCCTGAGAGCCTTCTGTGGTCCCCTTCAGGGGTGACACAGCTGCATGGCGACTTAAGCCAGCTTATGCAGCCCACGTGAGGTTCTGGCTCCACACAGCTGCCCGGGGCAGGATGAAACCCAGGTGCAGGCGGGGCTGGCACAGACGGCCCTTGCATGTCAGTTGCTTGACGTGGAGCAAGCGCTTCACCATAGCAGTGGTGTAAACGGCACTTCATTTCTCAGGCTCGGTCACAACCCCATTGAAACCATCACACTGACGTCCCTTCAGACTGGAAGTCAGTGACATAGAGCCCCTTGTAAAATAATACTGAGACCTTACATCAGTGACATCTGGTGCTAAGGCCACGACCCCAGCAAGCTGGGGAAGGTGACAGGGTGGGGCCACATCTCTGGGGCGAGACTCTGAGGTTTGGGGTGAAAGGCAGGAAAAGGGCTTCAAGAGGATGTGGACGGAAAGGGCCGAGGGACAAACAGGGCCGCCTGTCACTGCACAGCCTTGCGAGTGACATTCCAGCCACCCTTTTATTTTATTTGGGCACCAGAGATAAGCCCCAGCTGCTTTTCCCTCCACCACCTCTTGCACCAGCGGGCACAGCCCTTCCGCTGTGGCCCACGGAGAACAGAACTGGGCTCCCAGCCTCTCCTGCATCCTCCCAGGCCTGAAGCAGTCCCGTGGCCCTTTCGAGCTTTCCCAGGTGCCTTTGCTGCCAGCTAAGAAGGAAACCAGTAGGGTAGAGGCTTTTTCCTCTAAATCCGCTCCACTCCCCCTGCTTCCTATCCTCATCCTCCTACTTCTCCTCCATGTAGACCCTGTGGGAAGAAGGAAGGGCCTCAGGAGCGCTCCCGGGGAGTGCTGGGATGCACACAGGACCCTCACACAGCAGGCTGAGGCTCCCCCAGGGTGAGGGAAGGGCTCCGGGTGGAGAGGAGACGGGATGAGGGTTGGGCCCCCCCAGGAGACGGGATGAGGGTTGGGCCCCCCCCATGATATCTGCTTTTCCCCCCATGATATCTGCACTGGAGCTGGGGGCAGAGGGTTGCATAGCAAGGGGGAGAAAAACTACTGGGGAGGAGGTCTGGTCTCCTGCTTGACTTCTCAGGGCATTTATAGCTCACCTCCAAGGCACTCCTGCCAAAACCACTCTAGACTAACCCTGAGGCCAAAGGGAAAGGGGGTGGGGGTGAACCTTTAGGCAGGGTCCTGGGGCAGTGACCATTCCTGAGGGCCATTTTCATGTGAAGGACATAGATGAAATGAATTTGCATATGCATATACACAGAAACACAGGAGCATGACAGTACTATTTATATACTTCTTGTCACCATTATAGGAAAACTATGGATTATTATGTTTAACTGATAAATATATATGCTTATGGTCTGTATCTTACATAATAAAAAGGACTTTAGAAACTAAAAGCTGATTTATAACAATGTTTTAAAAAGACAGAGTACTTAATATTATCATGTTCTGTGTTTTTTCCCCATTTTTCCCCTCTACAGATTGGTCTACAAATGGTTTCTTCTAATCTACAAACTCAGCTATGCATTTGGTGTTGTGGGTTATTTGGCTATCATGTTTACAATGTGTGGATTCAACTTATTTTTCAAGTAAGTATCTCCAGTTAAGACATTAATATCTCTAAGTACTTGCTTGGACCGTTCAGCTGTTCATGTTCTCTCTGTCTGGAAGCATCCAGCACTATACTTTTCCATCCATGCATTTTTATAGTAGATATCCACACAGTCTTGTCACTGGGGGAAACCAAAGGAAGAAAGGAGCACCCTACAAAATAATTTTTTTTTTTTTGAGACACAGTCTCTCTCTGTTGCCCAGGCTGGAGCACAGTCAGTCATAGCTCACTGTAACCTTGAACTCCTGGGATCAGGGGATCCTCCTGCCTCAGCCTCCTAAGTAGCTAGGACTACAGGCACGTGCCACCACACTCAGCTAATTTTTTAATTTTTTATAGAGATAGGCTATTACTATGTTGCCCAGCCTGTCTTAAACTCCTGGCCTCAGGCAATCCTGCTGCCCTGACCTCCCAAAGTGCTAGGATTACAGGCATGAGCCCTCATGCCCAACCCAAAACACTTTGTTTTTTTAATTCAGCACTTTAAAGAGAATCTATATTTGATCTACAGATTTAAAAGATCACCATTGAAAGTGGGCCTACAATTGTGGCAGAGTAATTCTTACTGAACTACAAATTTCCTTTATACAAAATTCTGAAGTGTACAGATCTTCTATTTATCTTCTTGCTTAAAACTTCTAGAACTGTGCTGGCCACTTCAGTAGCCACTAGCTCAGGTGACTATCAAGCACTTAAAATATGAAATAAGATGTGCTATATGTGTAAAATACACACAGGATTTCAAAGGCTTATATGAAAAAAAAATGATTTTCATAGTGATTACCTATTGAAATTATAGTATTTTAAATATATAGGTAAAATTAATTTCACTTGCTTCTTTTTACTTTTCATATGTGGCTGCCAGAATATTTTAAATTATATTTGTGGCTATATTTCCACTGAACAGCACTGCTCTGTAGAATTTTGTTTCAGATATCCATGAAACCCATTGTGCTAGGGAGAGTTGGAAATGGAGGAGCCAGGGTACTGAGAAACTGAAAGACAAGTGAAGGGATAAACGAGCAAGAACGTCCTGGAAGAGATAAAGGAAATCACGTGTGGGACTCAGAACTGTGCTCCCGTGAAGAAGGTGTTTGCTGCGCTGTGCTGTGCACACGATGTCCCCTGGCCGAGCTGAGGCTGAGTAACCAGCCTGTGCTCGGGAAAGGAGATTTCAGACATACCACAGGGCCATGCAACGCAGCTCAAATAAAAATTCCCCAGAATCTCTCTCACTTCGAAGTTACTCTAAATCTCTGGGAAACAGAAATTAAAAAGCAGAGTTCAGCAACCCTTTACTCATAAAATAGGGAAGGTAATTGCATGGAGAGCCAGCCCTGCGGGAAAGGGCCTTTCCCGTGCCAACACAGCAGTCAGGTTTTATAAGCATTTCGTGAGACTTTCGAAGAGGGAGCTCCTAACATTTTCTAGCTAGGAAGGGGTAGAAAGTAATTGTACAGATTACTATTATTGCCAGGTTAAAATGTAGAAAGATGCTGAGCATGTCTTTTTTTTTTTTTTTTTTAGCATACTGTCTATATTGCTTTATTTTAGTGAATGTAAAAATATTCATAAGGATTTTTATGAAATCACTGGGGACTATAGCTGTCCCAAGAGTATCACCTCATAGGATTTTAAGGTCCTTATCCATGAATTCTCCTATAATGAGGCATGCCGCGAACTAACCCTTTAGATTAAGAAGGAACTATTTTTTCACTATCCATTGTAGGTTATCACTGTATTAAGATTATTTTCTAGGGAGCCACAAGTTTATTACTGTATTTCTTATCAATAATACTGCCCTGGACATGGAGAGAAGATAAGCTTCCTTTCCCCACTGTCTTAACCCTCAAAAATACCCAGTCGAATCCTGAAAGGATGAAGCTACCATCTATGTTGGGATTCCCAGTTCACATCACCAAAAGATCTGTACTCTCTAAATCTACAAAGCTTTCTACCTTTACCATTTCCTCCTCAAACTAACAGAGCACAGAAACTACCAGAAGAAGGTCCCAGAGACAGACTGCCCAATTTGTCTCCACACTTTGCTCCCTTCCCTGAATCAATCAGACCCACCCAGCTTCACCACTGGTAGATTATTATAGAGATATAGCAAACCAAATGTGCAATGATTAAGATTCATAAATTAAATTGGGGGTGAATTATTCACTTTATAAGGAGATTTCTTTCCCTTAAGCAGAAAATGGGGTTGGTTATCACAGAGAAATCCTAGTGTATTTGAAATATGATTCAACTTGCAAAAAAATTTCTTCACTTACTCCATGGCAACTAAGTCATAGTAGCAAAGGATTCCAAAATGTGAGCTTGGTTTATGGCTTTGTTCATTCCAATTTTCATGTTAAGCAGGTGATTTTTCTCCATGTTTTTACATGCAAAGTGGGGATAATAATATCTACCTCAAACATGTTAGGAAAGATAATTAGAAAGCATTCTATACTAGCTAAGCTCTATAGCAGAAATTCTCAATCTTTGCTGTATTATAGAATCAATCACTTAACAAGCTCTTTCAAAAATACTGCTGGCTAGACCCCATGCCAGCCCTATTAAACTAGAGTGCTTGGTGGTGGGCCCATGCATTGATAATGCTGTTAAATCTCCCCACGTGATTCTAATCTATGTTTAGGGCTGAGAACCATTGCTCTAGTGGTTCTTAATGTTAGCTGCCCATTGGAATCACCTGGGGTCTGGCGAGCTTCACGTAATTGGCCTGGGGTGTGGCCCAAAGATGGAGGTTTTTACAAGCTGCTGAGGTCTTTCTGTATCCCAGCAGTCCCCAACCTTTTTGGCACCAGGGACCGTTTTCATGGAAGACAATTTTTCCACGGACTGGGGATGAGGGGATGGTTTCGGGATGATTGGAGCACATTACATTTATTGTCCACTTTATTTCTATTATTATTATTACATTGCAATAGATAAGGAAATAATTATAAACTCACCATAGGCTGGGGACCCCTGCTATATGCAGTCTAGCTTGACACCAAGCGTGAGAGTCAGCTTGTGTAAATCCTGCAGTCCTAAGAAGCACCTGAAGACTATCTTAAGAATTCCTTTGTCCATTTGGCACTGAGTGGTACAATTTGAGGGAAATTGAGAGAACTTTTCCTTCTTTCATTTAAGAAAAGAAAAACAAATAAATGAAAAAGTACATACCCACGAAGTTCCCTTAGATACTATGACAGGAAATATTTTCCAAGCTCCAACCCTCCCCTGCCCCACAAATGCTACATTCTTATCTCCTTATGCTGTTGTTTTCAATAGAATCAAAGCTAGAGATTCCATGGATTTTGGCATCGTGTCCTTGTTCTATGGCCTCTACTACGGAGTAATGGGGAGAGACTTTGCCGAGATCTGCTCAGATTACATGGCCTCTACTATAGGGGTGAGTGTTGCTTTCATTCTTTAAAACCGTTTATGACACATGGAAAAATGTTCTCATTTTACATATTTGCATCTATTTTCAGACATAGATAAGTCTTTGCCCATATACTGATTAGCATTTCTGATGGTACTATTTTGGTTTGCCCAGCCCAATTGCTCCTTTGCATGAAAATTTTTGTTAATTAATTAGAAAATAAATTTATTATTTATAAAAAATAGTTGGAGAATAAGCCATATTCTAAAATAAAATATGCTAATTATTTGGGTTATCCTATCTAACATACTCTAATTGCCAACATTTAAGGATAAATAAAAGATTAGCAATAACTAACACCTTTTATCTCTGCCTCAAACTCTGCCTAATGCAAATAAAAAGCTTATCTGATGGCCTGCGAGGTGGCTCACGCCTGTAATCCTAGCTCTCTGGGAGGCCGAGGCGGGCGGATTGCTCGAGGTCGGGAGTTCAAAACCAGCCTGAGCAAGAGCGAGACCCCGTCTCTACTATAAATAGAAAGAAACTAATTGGCCAACTAATATATATAGAAAAAATTAGCCGGGCATGGTGGCGCATGCCTGTAGTCCCAGCTACTTGGGAGGCTGAGACAGAAGGATCGCTTGAGCCCAGGAGTCTGAAGTTGCTGTGAGCTAGGCTGACGCCACGGCACTCACTCTAGCCTAGGCAACAAAGTGAGACTCTGTCTCAAAAAAAAAAAAAAAAAAAAAAAAGCTTATCTGATGCTACACAGAACACTTCAGAATCAATAGTACTTCAGGGTAATATTTACTATGAAGACCAGTTATCACTATATAACACCTGAAGAAGTAGAAGATACACTGACTGTGCATTGCTGCCTGTCATTTTTTTAAATCCCTAATTGTTTTTTTTCTTAATTCTCTTAAAATTAAAATTCAGAATGGACATACTTTCTGGTCAGGTGGATTCCTAGCTCTGATATTAGGAGCATTTATCAGTATCTGACACATGCATATCTCTTAAAAACTCACAAACCAAGGGCTCCAGGATGACCCAGTAGTTTTAGGATTCCGAATCTCTGTCCTCTACCTGTGTCTTGGTGCACAGCTAGCGATAAAGTGGAAAAACTAGTGTAAGTATTAAGAGATGGGTGAGATTCTGGACTGTCTTCTCTCTCCATTTATGGGGGCAGGACCCAAGTGGACTAGACCTCAACTTCATCCCCACCCATGGCTCCTTCAACTCTACCATAGGCTCTATCTCACTCTTTTTGGTGAGCCTACAGACCGAGTTCTGTGGTGAAATGCTGGAACAAAATACCTTTGGAATTCCTCTGTCAGGTATCATCTGTGGGACAACTGCTTTTCTTAGGGTTTATGGGGAACACAAGAAGAAGCATTTTCACTGCCAATTCCTCCAACAAAAACCAGAAGTCATATCCCTTAGAAAATTCCCAAAGCCTCTTGGGTTTAGGGACAGAAGAGGAAAAGAAGCATTGTATGTGTTCTGGTTCTCCAGTGGACCAGGAAGGAGAGATTTCACCTGGCAAGACAACCAAGTCTTCAAGCACCAACTTTCTGGAGACTTTTCCCCTGATCCACGCCACCAGTCCTAAACATCTTGTCACCCTGTCATCTTTATTCCAGCTACCTATCTATAAAACACTGCCCCAAGCCATTGGCACAGCCACCAGTGACTTGAACTAATGGTGTGTGTGCACACATGCATGTGTGTGTGTATGTGCACGCAGGTATGTGCGCACACACACTTGTGCATGTGCTTGTGCCCAACTAAGATAAGGAGAGAGCAGAGAGGAGGAACATTCCCCATTCCCACACCAGACCCTAGCCCCACACCAGACCAATTAAGTCAGAAGCTCTGGGAGTGGAGCCAATGCATCTGCTTGGTTTTAAAAAAGCTCCTTAGGAAAAGGAATGAACTATTAAGCCATCCAAAAACATGGATGAATCTTAAATGCTTATTGCTAAGTGAAGGGAGCCAGTCTGAAAAGGTTATGTACTGTAGATTCCATTTATATGACAATTTTGGAAAAGGCACAACTATAGAGATGCTAAACAAATCAGTATAGGAAGGAGCATGGTGAATGGGTGAAGCACAGGGAATTTTTTAGGGTGGTGAAACTGTTCTGTGTGATAGTACAATGGTTTATTTATCATTATGCATTTATCAAAATCCATAGAACTTTGTAGCAGAAAGGGCAAACCTTAATGTCTGCAAATTTTAAAAATCATTTAAGAGGTCAGAGAATCTAAAGGTAGAATGCAGACTATGAGAAAAGATTCTAACCACCATACAGATGTATGAAGAGGGTGGAAAGAAAAGGTACTGAACCTAAGTCACTTTTATATGAATGGGGACTGTAGGACTATAATCAAAAGGAACTGTGCATAAGCACTGTACTCTAGCTGAAAATGCCGTTGCCCTTAGGACTATGAGTTAATAATTCTGATACCACTACACATGTATTCTGGAATTGAACAACTAAGTAAATGCCTGACGATTGTGGAAGCTAGGTTGCTCACTGTTAGAGTGGGAGACTGCAGATGAACAAAGGGAGCAGGCTAGAATGATCCATGTAGTAATAGATCACAGTTGGAGACATTAGTATAAACTCATGTTTAGCTTAATACATTAATAGATGTGTATGGATATTATAGAAATACTTATAGATGTGTGCATGTGTATGTGTATATATATATGGGTTAGAATATACAAATATATTAACTTTATCCATCAGCTAAGAGCAACAACACCCCAGTATCAATGAGCATACCTAGTGCCCAGATCTTGGTTTCTAATATCATTCTACAATAAAAGGAATGGGGGCTCCTTGGAGAAATGTCTGATTATAGGTCTGGGCAAGGAATATCCAATATAAGCCTGGAGCATCTTGTAGTGCCAGAAAGTAAGAAAATGCTGAAATCAAAACAAAAGAACCCCACAATGATGGGAATATGTCAAAGAGACACAGGAGGCAACTAAAAAAGCTCCCAGTGACCAAAGCTGGAATCTGAACAACAAAATAGTAATAGTACTGGTAGTACTGGGTTATCACCCAAAGCATAAAATAAATATCCATGAGTCCACATTGATAAAAATAAATAACCAAGTAAATAAATAAGTGGATGATAATAGACAAATTTGTGCAGAAAAATTCCACATAATTCATGTAGGTTCTCCTCCCTTAAGGAGGTTGTGATAGTTAAATTTCATGTGTTAATTTGCCTACTCTATGATACCCAGTTGTTTGGTAAAACACTCTACCCAAAGGAAAAAAAGACATGAGCACTCAAATGTTTATAGCAGCACAATTCACAATTGCAAAGATGTGGAAACAACCCAAGAGCCCATCAATACCTGAGTGGATTAACAAAATATGGTATACATAGACCATAGAGTACTACTGAACCATAAAAATATGATAAACTACCTATTGTATTATCCTGGATGGAGCTGGAGCCCATTCTTCTAAGTGAAGTATCACAAGAATGGAAAAACAAACACCACATGTACTCACCATTAAATTGGTACTAATTGGTCTTACACTAATGTGCACATATGGGAAGTAACATTCATAGGGTGTCGGGCAGGTGGGATGGGGGAGGAGGGGCTAAGTAAATTCACGCCTGATGGGTGCGGTGTGTCCCGTCTGGGGCATGGGCATGCTTGTAGGGTGGTGCAAGGGCAATTTATGTAACCAAAGCATCTGTACCCCCGAAATACTCTGAAATTTAAAAAATTTTAAAATAAAGAGCATAGGAATTTAAAAAGTAGAGAGATGCCTGGGTTTACTCCAGATCTCTGAGTCAGAATCTCCAAGAGAATAAAGGGAAGGGCCAGTCTACAGATACACTCAAAAGCTTCCAGTGTGATTCCAACTACAGCCCTAGATGAAAATTTTTCCTCTCAAAGGGTTTCTGAATGTGGAGGTGAGATGGGAGGTTATAATTGGCAATGTGCTTTGGGTCCATTTGGGCTACAAAGGGTTTTTTTGCTTGGAAAGCTTAACCCCTCTATAGCATGGTTCGTGCAGAAAGAAGAGTCTCGAGTTCTAAACCCACTAAGAAGCAGCAGGAAAGAGTCCTATGCAGGCTGCCTGTCCCAGTGCCCGGCAGTGGCTTCCCTGCATTGACAATGGCAGGTGCTCCCCTCTGCAATAGTGCTTTTTTCGTTTTCTCCGACAGTTCTACAGCATCACTGGAATGCCCACGAGGAGCCTGTCAGACGATATCTGTGCCGTCTGTGGCCAGAAGATCATCGTGGAGCTCGATGAGGAAGGGCTCATTGAGAACACCTACCAGCTTTCCTGCAATCATATGTATCCTCTTCACGGGAAACTGGCCTTCATAAAGCCTCCGTCCCTCCCTCTCCTTCTGTCTCCATCTCCTCTGCCTTGCCTAGCACCTGTCCACAAACCCCACACCTTTATCCTCCAGCCCTGGCTTTCTTTTTGAGATTTTTCTGATAATCCCTGCTGGAAAATGACCTGCTAATGAAGGTGAACCTCCTCCGTTAGTCATTTCCTCTTAAGTGCCACATGGAGAAGAAAGCAGCAGCATCTGAGCAAGGTGCCAGCTGGGGAAGTTGGTTGAAGTCTGAAGTGAGCAGATAGCCAGGAAGGACAAGAGAGAGAAGGGGGTTGGGGGTGAGAAAAAGAGTGAAGTACCAGGTGCAGGGAGGAACCCTGGGTCTGAATCGCAGCGGACCAAGAAATACAGAGTGTGTGTTGCCTAGAAATAACCCTAGGAACCTACTTGTGGCAACAGTGGTCTTGTGGGTAGCCAAGGGAGGAAACCAAGCCACCTTCTCAGCTGTGGTTTTGAGAAGAGGATAATGTCACAGGCAGCAGGACATCTTAAAGGGCCATCAAAAGGAGGGAACAAAATATGAGCATCTAGTTCTTGGACCACTTGGCTCCTCTGCCAGTGAGTTCCATCCCAAATAGCTATCCATTGGCTAAGGGGTCTTCAGGCAGCAGGAACCAGACAAGCATGGGCCTGGAAACCAGCATTCTCCAGCAACCATTAAGGAAAGCCTCCATTTGCTGAAGAATGCTGGCATCGAGACCCCTGAACAAAGCAGCCCGTGCTGCCTGAGCAAGTAACAACTATGGAAACCAAAGTTATGTTTGGCTTGGCCAATAATCAGTATTTTATTCTTATTATTTTATTCAATAATCAGTATTTTATTCTTTCCTAAATACAAAAAAAAAAGGAATCATTTATCTGTGTTTTATAGTACTGTATCCATTTAATAATATTATCGCTTTGTGCCCAGTAAGTTCAAAGCTCTAGTGTTATGAGATGGTTAAACCATCTGTCTTTTGCCTCTGAAGCCCACTTAATTCAGTCGGTCATATACTTCGATGTGTAGTGCCTGAGATTCAATTCTGTTTAATCTGGACAGTTTCCATTTATTCAATCCTGAGAGTAAAACCTGGACCAAATGTATTGCAAAAGTAATAGGAGCCTTTACTCCAGCATTTAAGCCCTAAAATTTTAAGGGAAGAAACACAACACAAAGATATGCCATATGGAATTCTAGAGTGGTTTTTCAGTGTGATACCTCTCCCAAAAAACTATCATTCTTCATAGAAATTTTCCAAGTCTAGCCCTAGTTTTAAATATGATTTACTTTTCAAATGTTGGAACAGAGCCCTGTCTGCCATTTGCAAGAGGAAATATTTTCTCTCTCCACCTTTAAAAGCCCTTAGGGATTGTCGTACATGTGTGCATATGTAATCTAAAATGTAGTCACCTTTAAATTTGCTTTGCAGTGAGTATTATTAATGGCCCATTTTAGCATGAGTCATATTAGCAAGGAGTGGGCAAACATGACGCACATTAACAAGGAGGGCTTATCAGAGTATTTCTCTGCAGCTGCTCTGCCAGTGTGGAAGTTTTTCAGCACTGAGATTTTGAAGATGAAAGAGAACATTAAAGAGGACATGGACATTTCAGCGGTGACTCAATGACCCCTGAATTCTATACGTATGTTGAAGATGGGGTTGTAATCAAGCCCTTTAGAATGAAGGACTGTATAGGGTTTTTTTGTTTGTTTGTTTGTTTTTGAGACAGAGTCTCGCTTTGTTGCCTAGGCTAGAGTGAGTGCCGTGGCATCAGCCTAGCTCACAGCATCCTCAAACTCCTGGGCTCAAGCAATCCTCCTGCCTCAGCCTCCCGAGTAGCTGGGACTACAGGCATGCGCCACCATGCCCGGCTAATTTTTTGCTATATATATTAGTTGGCCAATTAATTTCTCTCTATTTATAGTAGAGACGGGGGTCTCGCTCTTGTTCAGGCTAGTTTCGAACTCCTGACCTTGAGCAATCCACCTGCCTTGGCCTCCCAGAGAGCTAGGATTACAGGCGTGAGCCACCTTGCCCAGCCTGTATAGGTTTTGGTTCAAAATCTTTGTTATAATACATCACTGCATGTTAATCTAAGCATATTGCAAAAATGACCAAAATTCCAAGAACATAAAATAGTGGAAACTCTCAGCTGCATAGAGATCTAATATTGGGGAATTATATACATTGCCTTGCCTTGGCTCTATCTCCCTGGTCCTCCATTTGTCAGGGAGGGAACTTCTACATCATTTCTGTTCGTGTGGGTGTGTAGCGGGCCAGTCAGAAGCACGTGTGATCTTGGCCTAGAAAATGACATTGGAAGCAGCAACTGTAGAAATGCATAAATCAATAGGATGGATCTCATTATATTAATAGTCAATCATTTTGCCCAAATCTATAATATTGGGCAACCTGGAAATATATATTTCCAAAAATGATCGGTTTAAACTGATTCGTTTAATGAATATTTCTTAGACACACATTAGATGCTGAAAATACAGACATGAATGAGACATAGTCCCACACATCACACATGGACTAGGAGAGGCAGAAAGTCAGGATACATTAGAGTAAGTCCCTGGTGCTATAACAAAACACAGGGTTCACTCTCAACTTTGGAGGCATAAGGTCAAACTTTCTGGACAAGGAAATGTATACAAATGAATTTGTAATTGCCTGGAGTTTGAGAAGTTAAGTTTATTAGGTTTATATTCTATTAAAAATAATTGGCTCCTTATCAGTAATAAAAAAGTCAAGGAAAAAAATTTATGAAGTTAATAGAAATATTTGTAAGTTTATGACCAAAAATAATTTAAACTTGTCTATGTGCCTGGGACAAGTCTGATTACACAGAAGGTAATAAACAGTGCCCAAAAAGCCAAATCGGGAAATGTTACGGTAAATGCATGAGAAATGCACAATGAATGAGTCAGGGAAATATAATACATATATGTAAGACATTACCGAAAAAAAGAACTTTCACATTCTTTAATCTAGTTCTTACCAGAATCAAGTAAAGCAAGAGCAAGGGAGGTGAAGAAGCTAAATTCCTCAGGGTCACAGAGCTAATGCAGCTCACGCCACGCTCACTGTCACTGGGGCTCCACTGTCCTACAGAGCCGGCCTAAAATAGTGATGTGCACAGTCAAGTCGTGACTGCCAGCCATTCTCACCCTCCACTACTAGACTCCAAAGACTGGGTCATTTCCATGCCACCGTGAACCAAACATTGCCCTTTCGTATCTAGAAGCTTCCCTAACAAGGTGCTTCAGCTTTCACGAGTTCTGCATCCGAGGTTGGTGTATTGTTGGTAAAAAGCAAACTTGTCCTTACTGCAAAGAGAAAGTTGATTTGAAGAGGATGATCAGTAATCCATATCCTTTAAAAAAAAGTTACGAAATATTATCTTAAATGTTTCTAGGAATGCATTGTTCAATCTACACTTTCATTATCTGTGTATGGTTATAACAGAAAACTTTGTTTTCCCTAACCACCTATTTCAAAATGACTTGTGACCTCTTTTCTCCTCTGTGCCTTTTTACTATTCTGTTAGGAAGTCAAATCCCAGGAAACATTCATTCTTCATGCTCCCTATTTTCCATGTTATGGGCTTTAGTGGAAATGTGATGGATATTAAATGTGATGGGTAAAATATCTGAAAGAATAATCAGTATGCATTGATGCTTGGAAGGATGCATGTATGCATACATAGACAGATAAATGGGTGGATTGGATGGGTGGGGGAGTGAGTGGATAAATAGAAAAATTGGAATTGAAAATGTAAAAGCCCCAAATGTAAACGAGAGTATAAGAAAGTATTTTCAGGGTGTACCAAATATTATTATTCCCAGAAATGAGTAGGCTTTTCTCCCTTGGATTCTGGCTTTCTAAATTGCTATGCCTCATCTCTTCTTAGGCTAAACCCTAGTGATCGAATATTGAAAGGAAACAAAGACCTGCACAGTTGATCAGCTTCTGGTAGCAACTAGGATTTTTATAGACATCAAGGATGCCCATCGGAATAAACTCAAGTTTCATTAAGGTCACAGGAAGGTAAAGGCCCCCATCCAGAGAGGACTAGAATGACTTAGTCCTTAACCTCACTGTCCCAAGACCATAATTATCCCTTCCAGGAAGAGGCATGGGAATGGGATTAAAACGTATCCTCCTCCCTTAAGGAGAAGAGCACTAAGAGGTTAGCATCTATCTACCAAGTACTCTCTCTTCTCATAACAGACAGCCTTTGTAGACTTTCTGAGTACCAGTCACCTTTTTACAATGCTAAAAGAAACACCTTTCTCACTGGCTGCTCCCCTACTCTTCATGTAACATTGGCTACTGGCAGCAACGCCCCTGAGCACTGCAAATCAGGAAGGGACCTCCAAGGAGGGCAGCAGAGAAGGAGGCAACACCAGTGGGTTGTTGGCTCTCAGCGCCGTGCCGTGGCAACAGAGATACCCTCCGCAGCCACCCGCTCCACCCACAGCCTGGCCTTGCGTGGCGAGTCAGTGCCACTCACACACAGCTCCAGGCTGAAGGTGTGTGACGCCTCCCTCCTCCCTGCCCATCCGCTATGCTGGGACTCCCCTCCTGATGGGAGGAGACCAAGTCCAGAACACCTTTGGGTTAAAAACTTACACAACTGCAGTACATAAATCTTTGTTACGAAATTGGTCATATTATGATCATCAATGTCACTTCAAATAGTTAAATTAACAAAAGGCAATTTGTTTTTTTATATCATCCTGAGAAAATAAACTGTTGAACAACACATGTACTCTTTTTATTGAGACTCAGTATAAGAAAAAGCTCCATGTGAAAAAGCTGCCATTTGCTATCAGATATACTATGCATTAATTAAGCTCCCTTTGCACAATTTATCAAAGATATCAGAAAAAGGTCTGTCTTATCTGATGAATTAGTGTTATTCCTTTTAATATACAAGGTTATTCCTTTTAATATATGGGTTCCCTCTGAGGTGCCAACTAACAGAATGCCCAGTGCTAAGTTTTGCAGCTTCTACTAGACTTGGTTTTCCAATACAGTCATTCCCCTCTCCCTCTCTCTTTTAGCATATACCCTTGGTTTTTATTCTTGTTTTATAGTTTGGGATTTTATTGTAAAACAGTTTCAATTTATTTTTGGAAATTGAATGTGGTTTAAATAATAATGATAACCATAAAGGTATAAAAATCATGTAAGGGGCTTTTAATTGAGCTCATATAATTAACGAGAAAGGAAATACCCATTCATTACATTGTTCACTATTAATATATTTGCAAATGATATTTATGAATATGTCTGCTACTTGGCTATATATAGAACAACCTCCTTAACTGAGACTTAGCTGGGAGCGCACGCATTTTGTTTATGGACAAATCCTGGATTGGCTTCGTTATCTGGTAGCCTGGCAACCTGTGGTCATAGGAATAGTTCAAGGCATTAACTATTCACTAGGACTAGAATAACACAGTAGACTTACCCCAGAAGCAATATATGGCATGGTTGACATATTATTAAATCCTTGGTCCTACATTTAATATTGATTTTTTTAATTTTACAGATGATCCCAAGAGTTTAGAAAACTAAATAAAATTTGGTGTCATACTTAAAGCAATTTGTCTATGTGAGAAGAATTTGAAGAGGAACTGAACAATGGAATAAGTAAAGAGTGCTCTCTCATCTTTCCCATCATAACCATTTTCTAGCCCATGCAGACGGTGCATTTGTTACACCCCACTCTGGACATTCAACCTGCTGTTTGACTGATAATGATCTCATCTGTAAGGTGCTTCAGAGGTTTGTAAAGTCCTTCTCACACACGACATTTAGTCCTAACTAATACCCACTCATCAGTTCAACATCTCCAAAGAAGTAGGTAGAGTTGTTAAGTAATCTATGGTTTAAAGATACTGTCTTTTCTGCTCTATGTCCTTGTCGCCACCTGGCAGCTTCAGCACCACAAAGCCCTTCTGCACAGAGTTAATCCCAAAGCTTCCGGCACCAGGCCCCACGTCTTCTCAATGGGCCACAGCTACTTTGGGTTTCCTGGGACTGCCCAGCACACTCAGCACAACCAAGGGCTGCACGAAAGCGGAAAGAATCACTCTTCTTTTGTGCCACTGTTTACACACACACACACACACACACACACACACACACACGTGTACCTGCAAACACACATGCACAAGGACACACACGATCATTCCATTGTGGTCCTCTGCTTTTATTTACTTCATACCACTTATCAGTACCTGAAATCATACCATGAATTTATTTGTTTATTGTTTATCTTCCACTCCATGAAGGCAAGGAATTTTATGTGGTTTTTTGTGGGGTTTTTTTTACCGCTACTACATTCCCAGCACTTTGCGCACTGGCTGGCACATAACAAGTACTCAAGGAATATGTGCTGAAAGAATAAATTAACCTGGGAGAAGGGAACAAAATTAACCAAACAGGGAAGATGCACCAGTAGGAATTAACCCCAAAATGACATGTTGAACTCCTAAAATTAATTTGTTTTAAATTACTGGTCATTTGTTAAACAGCCAACACTGTATATATAGCACCAGAATCTCCTCAGTGATACTTGAAGCCATTATACTTGATAAAGTGGAAAGGAAATACCCTGATTATTAATATTTTCCTTGTCCAAGTACTGGCACTGTACTTAATACTATTCAAAGTTCCATTATCAAAACAACTCACACTAAGATTTCTAACCGTTGGGAATTTTCCTTCTTCAAACTGCCAGATGCTTCAGTATTATGATTGGTTCACTATCCAAATTACTAAAAGATTTAATTTGGGTTTATTTTTCTACTTGACGAACATTCCAATAATTCAATACTTATTACATAGGCATGTTCAAGGGTTAAGGAGGGAAAAACAAGATTCTTGACCTTATAGTCTATTGACAAATAAAAGACTACATATTTAGATAAAGCATTAACAAAAACTGGTTTTAATTCTGTTAAAAAACAAGATCTCTAGGCCGGGCGCTGTGGCTCACGCCTGTAATCCTAGCTCTTGGGAGGCCGAGGCGGGCGGATTGCTCAAGGTCAGGAGTTCAAAACCAGCCTGAGCAAGAGCGAGACCCTGTCTCTACTATAAATAGAAAGAAATTAATTGGCCAACTGATATATATATAAAAAATTAGCCGGGCATGGTGGCGCATGCCTGTAGTCCCAGCTACTCGGGAGGCTGAGGCAGGAGGATCACTCGAGCCCAGGAGTTTGAGGTTGCAGTGAGCTAGGACGCCACGGCACTCACTCTAGCCTGGGCAACAAAGTGAGACTCTGTCTCAAAAAAAAAAAAGAAAAAAGAAAAAAAAAAACAAGATCTCTGATGCATTTGCCTCTTACCTTTTATGGACAGCTTCATGAGTGCTGCTTGTATAACCCTTTAGAACTCTGGGCAAGTAAACCAGTATTTATCTGCATGGAATTCAAAATGACCCTCGGGGTTCAATAATATCAGATAATCACTAAACCACCTAGGGAAAAAATGAAGATTCCGTTTTCTTTATACAGTTTAGGTATTTAAAAATCCCAATTTTGTAAAGTAATATATATATATATATATATATGTTGAGAAAAGACTGGAGAGGTATACACCAGTGGTCCCCAACGTTTTTGGCACCAGGGACTGGTTTCCTGGAAGACAATTTTTCCAGGGGGTGGGGATGGGGAGGCACAGCTCTGGCGGTGATGCTAGCAAGGGGGAGGCTGTAATACATTAAATACAGAAGTTTCACAGGCTCCCTGGCCTGCTGCTCACCTCTTGCTGCGCACGCCTTTCTCCCCCCACCCCCCATTTCCTAAGTTTCACGGAAGACAATTTTTCCACGTGCAGTTGTGGGGGGCGAGAAGCAGGCAGGGGGTGGTGGAGCTCTGTGGCCCAGTTCCTAGCAGGCCGGGGGACCGGTACCAGTCCGCAGCCCGGGACTTGGGGACCCCAGGTATACACTACAAAGTTACCGGTCGTAATTCCAAGGTGATGGAATAAGAGCTGATCCTTACTCATTTATATGCTCTTATCTCTTTTCCAAAATTTCTCTGGTGAACATGTTTAATATATTTCCAATGAGAAAACTAAATATTTTTAGGCCAGGCACAGTGGCTCATGCTGTGCACTTTGAGAGGTCCAGACAGGAAGGTCACTTCAAGCCAGGAGTTCAAGACCTGCCTGGCCAACATAGTGAGACCACATCTCCACAAGAACCAGAAAGTTTAGCCAAGCATGGAAGTGAGTGCCTATAGTCCCAGCTACTGTGGAGGCTGGGGTGGAAGAATCACTTGAGCCCAGGAGTTCAAGGTAAGCTGTGATCACATCACTGCACTCCAGCCTGGGCAACAGAGTGGGACCATGTCTGAAAAAAGAAAGAAAAGAAAAGAAAAGAAGAGAAGAGAAGAGAAGAGAAGAGAAGAGAAGAGAAGAGAAGAGAAGAGAAGAGAAGAGAAGAGAAGAGAAGAGAAGAGAAAGAAAAGAAAGAAAAGAAAAGAACTAAAAAGATTATTTTAAATCTATTGATTTAACTATGAAGCTATTTCTATTGGTGTTTAAATTCTTGAAATTAAATATATAGATCAAGTAAATGTTAAATCTATCTGGTTCTCATGATAATTAATATGGTGCTTAATGTAGAAAACATTAATAGAGAAATAAAGCAGAAAGTCCATTATTTGGTTTCTATGGCATCTCCTCAAGTTTTTTTCTTCTGAACTTGTCTGTGTTTTTTCTTAATCTGGCTACTGTCTCCTCTATAACACTCTCTGGGAGTTTTATAAAAGAGATGCAGCCCTCTCTGAGTTCCCCAAGGAGTAAGGCCTGTTATGCACTTGATGAACTTATTTCTTTGGAGTATTTATCTACAAACAACAGGGTCCCCTATATCTCTGCTAGTACCTATAACAGAAAAATATTCATTTACAAGCCATAATATATAAAGGAATCAATCACTTCTTGGAAAATAATAATAGCTGACATCCACTATAAGCATCTCTTTCACCACCCCCCTCACCCCCACAGGTCCCATTCTCACGGGCAGGAGTCCTCAAACTACGGCTTGCAGGCCACATGTGGCCTGCCGAGGATATTTATCCTGCCCTCCGAGTGTTTTTGCCTCCGCTGCCTGTCCTGCTTAGCAGCCGACTGGTCCCGGGCCCACAGTGCGCATGTGTGGAATGTGCGCCACACTCTCCAATGGCCCTCCAGTCATCTGAGGGACAGTGAACTGGCCCCGTTTAAAAAGTTTGAGGACCCCTGCTCATGGTCTTGGTACTCTTGTCCCGCCCAACCCTCCAGCGGGAATGGTAACCAAGGCGCCTGGGCTTGGTGGTTACTCACATCTCTGTATTTCATACTCTCAATACTCTAGGACGTAGAGATTGCCATCCCTATTTTAAAGACAGAACATTTTGGGTCAGGTTGAATGACTTACCCAAGATTACACCTCCAGGTCCTCTGACTCCAGAGCCCATTTAACCACATGAACCCAGTTCTGGTTCAGAATTGAGCAGAACCCAAAGGAGACTCACTTCCTTTCAGATGATTCCCTTCCCAGCGTACCAAGAAAGTCACACAGAATCAGTAAACACCTCTTAGCAGAGAATGTTGCATCAAAATTTAATGTATAGTATTATGAAATCTAGATTATAAAAATTAACATGTAATATCTGTCTTTAAATTATTGTGTATCAAACTAATTTTGAGTCATTGAGAGGAAACTCTAGGCACATACTTGTTTAACAATCTATGTGGCTCATATGTACTTCTTTAGATTTTCAAAAGAAAAAAAAAGGATGGCTTTTTTAGAATTAGAAACAAGACTTTTTAAAAAAGCAAAAAGCAACAAGATGTAGAGGAAACAAACTAGAAAACAGGAACTGAGAAGCAGAGTGACTCGACACTCATCAGAACCTATCAGGTAGTTCAAGGCTGAGGAAGATCAGAGTCAGGACATGGGAGGCTTCTTTTAAATTCTTCTCAACTGAGTATATGGTTTACTTCGAGAGTTTTGCTTTCACAGAAAGACATAATTTACTGTACCTTGTGTTTTGTGCCCTCTCTCAAGTAACCATGGCTGGAGAAACCTATCAAGTAGCCACAAAGACAGATCCAGTTCACATGGAAATATGCCCTCTAGATATATTTTGCATCCTGTAAAGTTTAATGGGAACACACTGCACTTTTCTCTAGGAATAGCAACAGGTTTGGCTGACCGCCTCAAATAGTTGGCATTGTGGTGTTCTTGAGAACAGGAGCACAAGAGGTGACAGTTTGGGTGGGACAGAGAATGCCCTCTGTAGCCACACAGGGGTATCTTAGCACAGAGCTGACTGACATGACATAGTCATTGGAAATCTTCAGTTCGTTTGTGCCATTTGCTAATGAAGTGAGCCAACTGCTACAGATTACAGTCAGCCCTTCCTATCCACAGGTTCCCGGCCATGTACTCAACCGACCATGGATCAGAAATATTCTAAAACAAATTTTAAAATAAAAAGTAACAATACCACAATAAAACATAATACAAATTTTTAAAACCACAGTACAACAGCTATTTACATAGTTTTTACATTGTATTAGATTTTATAAGCAATCTAGAGATGATTTAAAGTATGCAGGATGATATATGTAGGTTATATACAAATACTATGCCATTTATATAAGGGACTTGAATATCTGTGAACACATTTTTTATACCCAGGAGGGTCCTAGAACCTCAGATACTGAGCGAGGATTTTTATTCAGGTAATCAATAATGGACTTAGATCATGATTATCTCATAAAGAAAACCAAAACCACTTTTTTCTAATCTGGTAAGTTTTTATAAAACAGCACTGTAGATACAATTTTAATCCTTTTAGTAGTTTTAGTAATAAGCAAGTCCTCAAATGACAGCCCATTCATGTGGTTTTTATATAATTATGTCGGAATGAACTCAGTTACAACCAGTGATATAAAGACCCCAACTGGACCGAGACTGGCTTTCCACATAGGAACCTAGGACTTTATTGCAGCTCTCAGATTTAACCAGAATCCCTCCTGCAGAGCCTCGTCAATGGGCCACTCCAGGTAGGTCTTAGTGTTCATGATCTTCCGCAGCTTACAGAAGCGCTGAGGAATGGCTTTCTTCTCGATGGGCTCCAGAAGGATGAGAATGGCAGCATCATCGTTCTCATCGAAGAGCCGAAAATGGGAGAAATCCAGTTCATACTTGCACCACTCGCTCTTCACAAAGTTTTCAGAGAGCACAAAGACAGTTTTGTGGCTCTTTTCGATGGAGTCAATGATATTGTCAATGATCCATTTGCCAGGAATGAAGTCTCGCTTATGAAGACACAACTTGAAGGGGGGGTTGAAATTCTCCAGCTCCTGGACCATCAGGTTCTCCACCCAGTAGGAATCGTGTTCACTGTAAGAAACAAATGCATCGTAACAGACGTCCCTCCTGGGAGCCTTCCGGGGCTTCCTTTTGGCCTGGAGCCAGGCCCACATCATTTTCATGTACCACACTCCATGGAAACGGTGGCACAGCACCCCGGTGACCAGGATCAACAGGAAGAGGGCACAGCACATGCCGGACGCCAGTGCCGCCCTGTGACACTCAGACACGGAGAGACGGGCATCCTGAACCCGCTGGCCCCGCACGTAGGACGGAGAATCACACAGGTAGTTTTCGGTCCAATTGATGAAGACTGTGGCCAGTGCTTGCTGCTCCCGAGTGAAAGAGAGGAACTCACAGGAGCAAATGAAGGTGTTGCCACCAGCTTCCAAAGTTTTCAGTTTGTGAAAAGAATCAAGTTGCTCCTTAGAAAAAGAATTTACTGTGTTCGTTCTGATGTTCAACACCAGTAATGCAGGTAAGAAGGAGGCATCTGGTAGAGTCTTCAACTTATTTTTGGAAATATAAAGTTCTTTGAGTTGTGGCAAAGTCACAGAAAATGAATTGAGGTTGTTATCGCTCACATCTAAAATTTCCAGTGTCTGGGGAATGCAGTAGGTTAAATTGTGTATTCGTGTGTTGGATAAGTTCAAATATTTCATCTTTTCTGGCCACTGACAAGTTTTAGGCATAGTATGAAAGTGATTCTTACTGATATCAAGGTGAGTCAGGTTTTTCAGAGTAAGCAAAATCTCTGCAGTTTTTCCTAATGACGTTAAATGATTTTGCCTTAAAATTAAGGTATGTAGAGAGGGCCAGGCATTCTCACAGGCTGAATTTTTCAACTGTTCCTCTAACATCAAATTTTCATTGAGATCCAAGTATTCTAATGATTTTAAATGTTGTGAAAGTAAACAAGGAACCAGAAAAACCTTACTGTTTTCTACTGTGATTCTTTTAACTCTTCCTGCAAGTGAATATATTGTCCTCAGATCATAAAATGAATAAAAATGTAGAATACGCAACCTCCGTATAGTTAATGTTTCTACTTTACCTGGATCTTTAACTATGTCTTCATCAAATGTACTAAAATCACCTACTCCATCAAGAGTACAGTCATCAAACTCTATCTCTAACAACTCAGAAGCATAACTCAGGAATTTTAGAACTTGAGCCAAACTTTCATCGGTGATTTTCACTTTTCTCAATGTAAACTTTTTAATCAATGGATTTGTTTCACTGATGGAGAGTTCTGAAAAATGGAAATTGTACAAATCAGCATTTCTCAGTTCCACGTATTCCACGGAACTTAAAAGATCTACAAAAATCTCCAGTTGTAAAATAGGCTCTCTCATATGAAGAATCAGATAACTTATATTCTGAATTGACCTCAAACTTTTTGGCTCATAACTCTGTAGAGCTGAAGCATCAATCTCAAGTTCCTGAAGAAAAGTGAGCCCAGCAAAATCCTTTCTCTGAATCTTAGTGAAGCTGTTAGTATTTCCCACTCTCAGGGTTCGCAAATTTGTGAGATGAGAAAAGAGAGACGTTTCCCCGAGTGTTCTGTAAGGATTTCCCAGTAAGTTTAAGGATTCCAAGGAAGAAAGGGGCCTGAACCAGGAGGATGATAAATTAGATAAGTCATTATAGGATAAGTCCAAATGTTTCAGACTGCCCAGGGAATAAAAAGAATCTTCATCTATTGTGTTAATTTCATTGGACTTTAGCACCAGAGCCTGGAGGTTCACACACCTCTGCAGGTCACTGCTGCCAATATAGGTGATCTTGTTGTTGGACAGGTCAAGACTTTTCACAGCCGCTGTAAGCCCTGGGGGAATGGAGTTGAAAGAGCTCGAGAGGCCAACACAGACACCAGTGGAGTCACAAGTCAGAGAAGCCTGACCAAAGGGCCCTTCCTTGGAGAGGCTAATGACAGCCCCCAACACCCATACCGTCCACAAAGCATATGGCATTGTCCAATGATGCAACCTATAAACAAAAAAGGCTCAAATGAGTGATTGCTTTTGAAAGCATATCATTATTTCAATTCTTGAGAAACGTTTTATAGGCATAACAGACACACAGAGGAAATAACAGGTGAATGGCATATATGAATGGGGATAAAAAACAAATTTCTTGGCACATGATCAACACAAACACAGATATATGGCCGCTGTGCAGTGACTTCAAAGCACAATGACCTGGGAATATAAAGCAGGACTCAATAAACGTGGGCTGAAAGAGTAAATGAATGAATGGAGGACTGAACAAGCAAGCAGTTTAAGGCATTGGCTGGGCTTAACCATATAGATTTACAATCACCTTTTCCTGCACTTCAAACCTTCTTATATAAAAGCATGTCTTTTCCCTGTTTCAATGCTCCCTTGACTCATATAGACATCTCAGAGAACCAAACCACAGCTCTCATTGAACAAATATTCCCTGAATGAAGCTCCAGGAGTAGCACACTTTCAACCCAAAGAAAAATGTTTCATGTGCCTCAAGCCTGCCTGTACTTACCACTAGCACGCAGGAAAGATGTTGGAAACCCTGGGCAGGGCAAGGTGGTTTGCTGGGTTGAGGGACACTCTGAGACCATCAAAACCTTCTCTTCCTGCTGAGAAATAAAGGCAGCCAATGTTTAAGTCTGTATGGGCCGTTCAGAGGAATGAGGGAAACAAAGCTCTCTACACCACAACTGCTAGTTTAATTTCAACTGTGAACCCAACAGTTTTCCTTTTGCCCACCTTCTGAGCCCTAGATCCTTCTCTGGCTCTATTCAGCTGTCCCATTCCTTGCATCTGTATGCATGCCTATTCTGTATTTGCTCAGTGTATTAACTCTACAAAAAATTTTTAAAAAATATTTATCCCAGGCCAAGTATGGTGGCTCATACCTGTAATTCTAGCACTTCAGGAGGCTGAGGCAGGAGGATCAAGATCAGCCTGGGCAACATAGCAAAAAATAAAGAAAATTAGCTGGGTGTGGTGGTGCACACCAGTGGTCCCAGCTACTTAGCAGGCTGAGGCAGGAGGATAACTTCAGCCTAGGAGTTTGAGGTTAAGCTATGATGACGCCACTGACTCTAGCCAAGTGAAAGTGCAAGACCCTGTCTCTCTTTCTCTCTCTCACTCTCTTTCTCCTCCACATATATATGTGTGTGTATACATATACATCCCCAATATACATTGGGGATGAATATATATATATTCAACAAAACTTTTTATAGGTAAAATTAATTCTCCCCCAGAATCTGAGAAATTATAAAGGCCTGGGCTGTATAATTTAAAGCCACAGAGAATTAAAACATAAACACGCTTAATTTGGAAATTTAATTACTGTTGGAGTCAGAATTTTTATGTCCATGCCAACAACCACTGCTTTGCATCCCCTACTCTTTTTAGATAAATAGGTCATACCATGCATATTTATTCTGTATTTTTATTCTTCCCAGATTTATTAAAGTATAATTGGTATACAAAAAAGCTATACATAATTAATGCATACAATTTAGTGAGTTTGAACATGTGTATACACTGATGGTATCATCACTACAGACGAGAAATAAACATATCTATCACTTCCAAAAGTTTCTGCCACTCTATGGTCTGCCTTTATACTTTCTCAATGGAATCTTTTTGTCTCAACCCATTAGTGCTGCCATAACAAAATACTGGGGACTGGATAATTTATAAAGAACAAAAATGTATTTCTTATAGTTCTGGAGGCTGGGAAGTCCAAGATCAAGGCACCTGTACCAGTATCTGGTAAGGGCTACTCTATGCTTCCACAATGGTAACTTGTTGCTGTGTCTTTATATGGCAAAAGGCAGGAGAGTAAGAGAGTAGCACATTCAATCTCAAACCCTTTCATAAGGGTGCTGATGCCAAGGCAGGGCCCTCATGACTTAATCACTTCCTAAGGGTCACACCTATTAATACTGTTGCATTGGGGATTAAGTTTCAACATGAATTTTGGAGGGGACATCATCATTCAAACTATAGTACTTTTGATGAACAGATGTTCTTACATTTCATATATTTTTAACAGTGATTTTTGTGGCCTGTTTAAGAAATATTCCTACATTATCATGAAGGTATTCTCCTTGTTACTTTCTAACATCTTTATTGCCTTGATTTTCATGTTTAGGTTTATAATATACCTCGGATTAATATCTGAGGTAGCAGACAGGACTCATTTTTATTCCAATATGGATATTTAAGTAACCCATCACCATTTTTTAAAAGATCATCTTGGGGAAATAATCAACAATATTATCTTTGTCAATAGTCACATATCCATATAGGGCTGGGGCTTGTTTCAGTGCTCTCTATTCTGATCCAATCTCTATTTGTCTATCCCTATACTAGTAACACACCTTATTAAATATGTAATATATCTCAATATCCAGGAGAACAAGTACTTCTTCCTTGTTATTCTTCAAATGTGTCTTGGTTATTTCTGGCCCTTTGCATATTTTTATAAGTGGCAGAATCAGCTTGTCCGTTTCAAAAACAAAACCTGTTGAGATTTTAATTGGCAATGCATTGAATCTGTAGATCAATTTGTGAATTATTGACATAACTGCAATACTGAATCTACCAATCCATGAACATAATATATCTCTCCATTTATTTAGGTCATCTTTAATTATCACAGTATTTTATGGTTTTTGCATAAGGTTCTTGGGCATAGTTAGTGAGATTTATTCTTCAGCATTTAATACTTTTGAAAAATTAAAGATATTATAATAATACACACTTATATATGGCATATACATACATGTAGAAATTTAATTAAATTTTATATATTGGCTATTCTTCCTACAGTGTTTGGATTACAGGTGTGATCCCAGCCTGTAATCCCAGCTTGATCTATAGAAAGGACCAGGTAGTCACACCTGGGATATCAGTGAAATTTATCACACAATGCACTAGAAGATCTTTAAGATCATATAGGGATTTAGGTTTAACATGACATATCCACATTTAGTTAAGTTTCCTGCAGAAGCTACCAACTGTGAAATCCTAACCATAGTGATATCTTGCTATGCATAAACAGAAAGATGGCACAGAAACAATGAGGAAAAGGAACAAAGGTTTCATAATAACAGAGAAGGGAAATCTTGACTGGGTGAGGTGGCTCATGCCTATAATCCAAGCACTTTGGTAGGCCAAAGCAGGATCACTTGAGACCAGTAGTTCAAGACCAATCTGAACAATACGGAGAGAACCCATCTCTACAAAAAATTTAAAAAATCAGCCAAGCATGGTGCGTGTGCTTTTAGCCACAGCTACTCAGAGGCTGAGACAGAAGGATCGCTTAAGCCTAGGAATTTGAGGTTACAGTGAGCTATGATCTGGCCACTGTTCTCCAGTCTGGGCAAGACCTTGTGTCTAAAACAAAAGAGAAAGAGACGGAGACAGAGAGAAGAGAAATCTTGATCCATGTGATCTTGAGAAGGCTATCTACTTCTAGGATGTCATCCGCTTTGGGGAAGAAACCTCTTTGGTCAGTACCTTGAGGTCTCCAACAGATACACAATCTCAAGAGTCTTGAGGAGTGTTCTTGAGTGGAGAGATATGGACCCAAGGTTCGTGGCTCTTAAGTTTTGCTACAGTGTGGGTGGTATGGTTCCTTCCAACAGAGTTCAAGGGCAGTCTTTCTCTGCTGTCATTTCCAGAAAAGCCAATCCCTAGGTTCTAGATCATGAAAGGTTTGGCCATCCTCAGTTGTTGTAAATTACCTTTTACCTAGTGAAAGTATACTTTGGCATAGTGCATCAAAGCCTTGCAATATTTAGTCATGTCAGTGTTTATAAGAGCAGAAGATGCATGAGGTTCTATTAGGGGCGTAGATCTTCCAGTGACTATTTCATAAAGGGTTAATTTGTGTTTTCCAGTAGGGGTGGATCTGATGGCCATGAAGACCAATGGTAATACCTTTGGGCAAAGCGATCAATCAATTCAGTTAACTTTGCCAATTTCACATTTAAATTACCATTTGTCCTTTCTACCTTCCCAGAAGATTGAGGAACCTAGGGACAATAGTAATGCCATTGTGTTTGTCATATCTTATTTAACTATTTTATAACTTGTCTATCACTGGAGATTTCTCCAAGAATACCCCATAAAGGAAACACATTTTCTAATAACCTTTTAGCTACTGTTACAGCATCAGTCTTCTTCTTGCATGAGAAAGCTTTCTATCCAACTAGAGAATATACAGATTATTACAAGAACATTTTGGTATCACATTGCGAGTGGCAACTGAATGAAACCCATCCGTAAGTGTTCAAATTTTCCAGTAGATAGTAGAAATACACCACCTCAGGTTTCTATATTATCTTACAAGAATTATGGGTTTAGCAAACCAAACACTGATTATAAACCATTTTATCAATTTTAGAACAGTCACCACAGCAATATCTTTTCATAATTTCATTTTATCTATTCCATGAGTTACAGAATACAGAGCTTTTAATGATGAAAGCTATATGGACTTAGCGAGGACCAGATGGCTGTCTAGATCCTCCAAGTCCATGCTTAACACGGAATTTACATCCTTTTAAAAGTTTAATTGCTTTCATTGTTTCTCCAATTCAGGTGTATAATATTGATTATTAAATAGGTTATCATATGTAATTTATTATCATAATTTATTACTAAATTTATATAATTTATTTAATAATTTATATTTATAAATATAAATTAAATATAACATAGTATATTTAATTTATTTTATAATGTTATATAATTACATAATTATAATTTTATAATTTATTATTAAATGTATTATTATTATACCACATTATTAAATAGGTTATCATGTGTGATTTAACTTGGATCTATCTTATGGAATTCCTTCAAATTGCATATCTTAACCATTTAAGTACTGGCTGACTTAGCCTGAAAATCTGCCAAAGTAGCACCTCCTTGGTATTCAATTCATTCTTATTCTGCTTGATGTTGGGTTAGCAGTTTTAAGAACCAATCAGTTTCTTCATTAGATTCCTGGAAATTCTTACCCACTCCAATGGTATGATCTTAAAACTATCAGAAACCTATACTTGTCAGAGTCTTTTCTATGAATCTTTTCAAAGATGAAACACTTTAGGGTTTTTGTTTGTTTATTTATTTGTTTGTTTTTAGGTCCCCAAACTTTAAATTTATAATTGGATTCAACAGCTTTCAGGAAAGTACCAGAGTAAAACAAGTAACTCTTTGTGAATAACAAGGCTTAAAATGGCCTTGGGTTAAAGATCTGATGAGAGTTTGTTATAATGCAATTGACAAGGAAATTTTATTATTTCTGCAACATACAATACAGTAACTAGAATTATAACCACGACTATCAGGTTTCTAGAAGCTTCATACAATTTCTGAAGCATATATTAATAACATTCCCATTTAATGTGACTTTAAGATGGTTCAGCATCACTTATTACTTGACAATGCTTCCTGTGCAATTTAACATATCAAACAAACTTATTTAGTTTAATATCTTTTTTTTATAAAGAGAGAGAAAAAATTCCTTTAATATATTTCAGGAGCCCATCTAGAAGCTACAAAAGTTGGTTCAAGGTCAAAGTTCTTAATTTAAAATTTGATTTGGGGAAGTTGTCAAAAATATGAAAAAGCTTAAAATAATTAAAATAGGATCACAGGTCACTGTGAAATAATATTTATTCATTTAACTAGAGTAATCACTAAAAGACTTCAAAGAAAAATACATAAAGCCATGCAGTTGCAGAAAAAAACCTTGGCTCTTTGTTTAACAGAGAACTCAGTTTTCTTAAGCAGGCAAAGACCTAATAAAGACAACATGATTGGCACTAATTGATCAACACTAAGGTGCACATAGGGAGTCAGGCAGGTGGGAGGGAGGAGAAGGAGATGGGTCAATCCATACCTAATGGATGCGGTGTGTGCTGTCTGGGGTTTGGGCATGCTTGTGGGATGGTACAAAGACAATTTATGTAACCAAAGTGTGTGTACCCCTGTAATACTCTGAAATAAATTTTTTTAAAAAAAGACAACAGGAAGCACACGAAATTATCTTGATACAACACAAAATCTTTGTTTCCTAGGCAAATTACTTAGCAGGTAAAGAAAAATTTCACAATTTTTCCTTAAAAGCAGACCAATATTCTAAGAAAACATTGTTGTTTTGACATAGAAGACCAATTTTTAGTTCTACATCAGTATATTTTTTATATTAATGCTCAATGTTACAAAACACATAAATAATTACCTTCAAATCTTAGCCAGCTTGATCATACACAGAACTCTCTTCCTAAGATTCTTTTCCCACAAACCCTCTACAACTTTCTTATATCCATTCGGTTTCTGTCCTATACTCTTCCTCTTTCTTCTTGTGCAACAACCAGTCCTTCTACTTTAAGACAACTATCACTCTCTTTTTCCCTTAACAAAACACACCCTCATACTTTGTAACCTCTTACCAAAACCACAACTTACTTCTTTGTATACTTGCAGAGTTGTTTCCCTTATTATTGCTAGTAATTTTAGTTACATACATTAATTGGAATTCTTAATTCTCAGTAATTTTAATTTCCAGTGAAAACTAGAAAGTAAGCAATTGCAAACCATCTGTTACACCGGCATTATGCAGATTGACAAATCCATGAATCATAATGTCTAGAAGCATGTGCTGTCTCATAGTACAATTTTTCAATATGACACAAAACATGTTTACCAACAGATCCAATTATCTTTAGTCTCTCTGTAATAGGAAACTACAGGAGAGGCAAAATTTTATCTCTGCCCTCTTAGGAGTTTTGGCTAGGACTGAAAATTAAATTGTTGTTTGTAATGAGGAGGTCCCCTTGCTTCTGTAGCTGTTGTAGCTGTAGAGCTATGTGCCTGTCTACTTTAAGTAGGAGTTTTTCTTCTGCAATGACTGTCATTCTAAGTTATCTTCGGTAAGGTTCACTTACTTTTCTAGAAAAGCACAGGTTCTCAGTCCATAGTCCTTACACAGAATTGGCGAGAGTTACAGACTGAGGAGTTGTAGACTCCCTGTCTTCTAGTAGCCTTACAGGAGGCCTCCTATTGGACCAGTTCAGATTTGGTTCCTTTATCAGATCAAATAAAATTCTGGGCCTAGTCCAGTCAAAAAATTGCTCAAATAAAGTCAGAGAACTCAAAATGTGAATTCACAGAGCCAAATGTGAGAGGGAACTCACCCACAACCTCCAGTTGCAGCAAGAAGGCGATAGGCAGTGCCTCACAAGGACCTTCACTTGGTCACTCGGTGCTCCTGAGGGTCACTGAAGGTCTCTTTTGGATCCCAGTTCTGACATCAAAAGCTGTTAAAAGAAAAACTGTCTTTAAATTAAATGTGACGGAGTTTATTTGAACAAAGAATGATTCATGAATCAAACAGTACTCAGAATCAAGAGGTTCTAAGTAAGTATTTTCTTCTTGTCCCACCTATTTCATGGTCTATTATTTCTCTTGTCTTGCCTTCTTTTAAATGTGGGGATATTTTTTACCATTATAATTTTCCTCTTAGTTTATTTATAAATAAAATAGTACGAGTAATTACTTGATAGCTTAAAAACTTCCAAAACATGCTGTCAACTCTAGCAATTTTTGTAAAATGAGTACATTATAAAAAGCTTAAAGATGCAATTGTTCTTTGCAGAAAGAAACTTTAAATTTTGGTGAACAAGTCATTTTCCTCAGTAAAAACTCAGTAACAGGAGTCAAAACCTTCTGCAAGATTAAAATCTTCTCACCAATATCTCTCTCTCACACACACACACAAACAAAATAAAAATTCTTGGCTTGGCTTGCACCTAAGTTCTAAACACAAGTTCTCATTTATAGAAGTTGAAGGAGTTATAAAGGGGACTTCAGAGCATTCTTATTATGAGCTGAACTCTGCTTACATGTTCTTAAGTTGTTTCCAAATCAGAGACCTAACCCATACATTCCAAGAACGAAGTGAAACCCGCCCGGGTGCGGAGGCCAGACTCCGGGTTAGGAGCCAGGGTTCCCGACAGATCCAGAGTGTCAACAGAAAAAGCCAAACTCTATAAAATAATTTTAAAGAGATTTATTCTGAGCCAAATTTGAGGACCATGACCCGGAGCCACTGCCAAAAGGCCTTGGGCAAGTGGACTGGCTGTGGCTGGGTTACAGTTCCGTTCTTATACATTTCAGGGAGAGGGGGGAGGCTACAGGTAAAGTCATCAATCAATAGGTGGGAGCCATACATTGGTTTGGCCCAAAAAGATGGGATATCTCAAAGGGGTGGGGGGCTTACAGGTTAAAGGAGGGTTTAAAGATTCTTTGGCTTGTAATTGGTTAAAGACAGGAAGCTTTGTCTAAAGGCTTGGAATGTTTTAACATCAGGAGCTGTTCTCAGAGATAAGCCACCCCACCGGACATAGATTTGTCGTGTAAATTGAGGACCTGCAGGTTTGTCTTGCATACCCTTAGTCCTGTTAATGGATTACAAAGGATGTCCCCAAGAAGGGAGGGGGGCATAAGGCATGTCTGACCTCCTTCCTCCTGGCCGACAATTAAATTTTAGGATATTTCTTTGGCCACGAGGGGGTCCATTCAGTCAGCTGGTGGTGGGGTGAGCCTTAAAATTTTACTTTCACAAGAGTATGGAACCTTTCCCAGTGCTGGGCCCGGGTGACCGGGACCCAGTCCCGTAAGCTCGGTCCCCAGGCACCAGCGAGCGCGGACACACCCCCTGCAGGACGCTGGAGCTCAACTTCGCCCAGTGTGGAAAGCGAGGGGCGCGAGGGCGGCCCTGGGGGAAGCCGCGAGGCGGAAGGGGGCCGGGCCGCCCACCTCGGCCTCGGGGGCCGCAGCGGCCCGCAGCCTGGATCCCCGAGCCGGGTCCCCGCGGCTACCCCAGCGGCCAGCGAGGCTGGAAGGGCGCTCGGCTCAGCCGAGGCTCGTTGCGCCCGGACGCGCAAGGTCCCGCCCTCGGGCTCCGCGGGGACTGGGGCGCCCCCTTCCCTTTCTGGGTGGCTCCTGCTTCTCCCGACCGCCGACCTCAGCCTGGCCCTCTCCGGTGTCCGCATTCCCGCGCAGAGACGCAGCCGCGTCCGCCGCCAACCCGCCCCGACCTGGGCCCCGGGTGCGGCCGGCCGGGAGCGCGGGGAGGGGGCGCGGAGACGCGGGAAGGGCAGCGAGGGCGGGAAGGGCCCCACGTACCTGCGAAACCGGCGAGCGGCCGCCTCGCCGCGGCCTCCTGCTGCCCCCAGGGAACGGGAAGTGTGAGTGACGGGAAAGTCCGCGCCGCGGGCCACCCGCCCTGCCTCCGGGTGTGGAGGCCGAGCCTTCCCCAGGGCGCGCGCCGCGCCGGGGGAGTTCCCGCCGGCCCGGGCTGCCACCGCCTCAGGCGGGCTCCGGGAGGTGACTCAGGCTGTGGCCGTCTGCAGGCGGGCCTGGCCCCGAAGGCTGCCCCGCAGAGCCGGTTCAGAGGGCTTGGGGGCTTGGTGGAGGTTGCAGGGCAGAGGAAAGAGGACTGAGACCCTGGAGGGCCTCTCTCCGCCCCCCCCCCCGCGCCCCTCCCGGGATTTTCCAAAGCAGGGAGGTGGACGTGGCAACGGAAGAGAAAGCTAAGTGCCCACCTAGTGAGATACCATCTCACCCCAGTTAGAGTGGCTTGTATGGAAAAGACAGGGATAAGGGATGCTAGCGAGGATGTAGAGAAAGGGGAACCCCCAGACACTGGTGGGACTATAAATTGGCACATCCACTATAGAAAACAGTGTGGAGTTTCTTTAGAAAACTAAAAATAGGCTGGCAATAGTGGCTCATGCCTGTAATCCCAGCACTTTGGGACACCAAGGCAGGGGGATCACTTGAGGCCTGAGTTCAAGACCAGCGTGGGCAGCATGACAACAGAACGAGACCCCATCTCTACAAAAAACAGAAAAATTAGGCAGGTGTGGGGGCAGGAGCCTGTAGTCCCAGCTCCTTGGGAAGCTGAGACAGGAGGATCACTTACTTGAGCCCAGGAGTTTAAGGCTGCAGTGAGCTATGATCAGGCCACTGCACTCCAGCCTGGGCAACAGAGCGGGACCCTGTCTCATAAGAAAACAAAACAAACAAAAAAACAATGAAAAAATAGATCTACCATGTGATCCAGCAATTTCATTACTAAGTATATAGCCAAAAGGAAGGAAATCAACATATCAGTATATGGAAGAGATATCTGCACTCCCTTATATATTGCAGCACTATTTGCAGTAGCCAAAATAATGGGAGTCAATCTTAGTGTCCCACAGCAAATGAATGGATAAAGGAAATGTGATGTATATACACAATGGAATAATAATCAGCCATAAAAACAGAATGAAATCCTGTCATTTGCAGCAACATAGATGGAATGGGAGGCCATTACATTAAGTGAAATAAGCCAAGCACAGAAAGACAAGTATCACATGTTCTCATTCATATGTGGGAGCTAAAACAGTGGATCTCGTGGAGGTAGAGAATAGAATGATGGTTCCCAGACAATGAGAAGGAGAGGGGTGTGGTGGGAGGTTGAAGAGAGGTTGAAGTAATGGGTGTAAATACACAGACAGAATAAGACCTGGTGTTCAATAGATCTGCAGGGAGATTACAGTTAACATTAATCGATTGCACATTTCAAAATACCTACAAGAGAATAATTCAAATGTTCCTAGCATAAAGAAAAAACAATTATTTAAGATGATAGATATCCCAGTTACCCTGATTTGATTATATGAATGTATCAATTATCACATATACTTAGAAAACATGTATATCTATTACATATCAAAAAAACTGTAAAGCTTAAAAAAGTATACTTCATTTGTACTTGTGATTTTAACTCGAAATTTTTCCTGTTTGTAGAAACATGTATTGAAACATTTATTTAATATATTGAAACATTTAAGAGAGCTTAATGTTACCATACTTATAAGTTTATTAGTTATATAAGAATTATTTAAGAACCCAGGATAGTTTTAAGTTAGACAACTGAGATACTTACAGAGGATATCAAATATATCACATTTATAAATGCAGTTGAAAATATTTCAAAGTTTAATTAGCTAAATTTGTAAATAGGACAAAATGTAAGCCAAAGTCCCTTTTAAAGTGATTTTTAAATTTTGGTAGATTTATAAATAGCAAGTCGAACCTAACAGCTTCAGGAAGGACAGGTTTTAAAATATGTCAATTTAGTAATTCAGATATGGAATCATAAAGTCAAAGCAAACTTCTGAATTAGCTCTTCTGCAGCCAAAATATTTCAAGGATATTTTAAAAACAGCCAACACTGATAAATCTGAGTCCCTAAAGAAAAATTTGCCAAGTCCTTCCTTCCTCCCCTGTTAACTGCTGCTCTTCCTCTTCTTCCCATCCCCACCCCTTCCTCTGGCCTCAGTGAGGGCCACATCTGCCAGTCTGTTCCTGTGTGTCCTGCCAATGTCCCTCCCTTCAATTACGGTCTCTGTGAGCTGTCAACCACTGATACAGATGTGACTGTGCATACATCGTCTGCCATTTAACAGTTCTAGCCCACTTGAACTACTAAGAGACAATCTGCACTAAATCGTAGTTTGTGTCATGAGATTAAATCCACTTTTTCATGGTGTTTCACAATGTTCCACAAGAGCATCATCAGATCCAGAAACCCTCTCTCTGATCAAATGCGAAAATCACTGACTATTATTTCCCAATATTTTGTAAGAAAATCACTTCCTCCAAGGCTCTGGGCTCTTGCCGTTGGACCACACCATCCTCATGTCCTCCTCACCTCTGTCACCACCTGCTCACCTCCTAGTTACTTCCTCTCACTTTTTGAAGACCCTGGCACCTGCTCATAGTCTTTTTCTTCCCAAGATCTTCCGGGAGCCCCGGTGGCTTCACTGTTCCCAAACATGACCCACCTGACACCTGGACCTCTCAGTTCCTTTACCTCCCCCTCTGCAGGGATCTTTTCCTCTCTCCTACCTATTACTCACAGGTGTCCAAACTTCAAAACCTCCTGCATCTTGGTCAGAGTCCACTGACCCCTCCTCTTTTCCCAATCCATTTGTCCTCTCCTTTCTTCCCGGGAAAACACATGGTACAAGCTGGAGCTCACAGCAGAAGGGCCAGCAGATCTCTGCGTTTCCCGTTCTCTCGGCATTGTATGGAGACTCGTACCTGGCTCCCAAATTTCTAGCGGCCCCAGCACGTGGGTGCTGCCCATTTTTATAGAGAGGGGAGAAAACAGCCTGGGTGAGGCTACCAGGTAGTCTGCATATGAATGCCAGCCATTCGGGGGTGCTGGGGGTGAACCTCTCAAGAGAAGTTCAGATGGCGCACATCCCTTCTTACTGGCTTTTGGAAGAGCTCCCAGACTTAAGAATCTTTCTAACACCCTTGCCAAAACCAGAAACTCTCTTTCCAGTGGAGCTGCCAAGCACGAGCTTGAAGGAGAGGGTTCCACCCCATCCCAATCTCCATCGGTCGTCCCTGTTCTTCAACATGAACAACTGGTGTTTTCCCAATGTAATTAATGTGAAATGCCATGCAAAATGTTTCAAGCCCTCCTGTCCCCAAATCAAACTGCCACTTCTAAAGACCAACCAAATAAAAATTTGGAGCCACCACTATCTATTTTCCTTATGTGCCCGTTTCTCTTGTGTGACAAAACCTCAAACCTGAAAGAACCCTACAGCCTCTTTCTTAGAGGAGACCAAGCACTTTATCACACTTCTCTTTGCAATGCTGTCCCAGCCTGCTCCATCCTCCTCCAGCCCCTGGCAGCCGCTGCCTGCTCACGTCCTCTTCTGGGCTGGTCTTACCTCTTACTTCACAGAGAAAATTAAAGCCATGCCCAGAAATCCCTTCAACCTCGCACTCGTGAACTTCTACCCACACCCATGCTCTATCCCCCTGCTACGGTAGCAGAGGAGACCTCCCAGTAGGGCCAGTCCCCTTGTCCAATGTAGATGTCACCTAGACGCACTGCTGCCCATCCCGTCACTCTGTCCTGTGTTCTACCACTCCGTCTCAGCTGGATCCTCCCTGCCAGTGTGTACACATGCTCAAGTCTCTTCCAGATTTATCTTTTAAAAACGAGCAATAACAACAACAAAAACCTTTCATCTCCCTCAAGCTTCTCTCTCTCTCTCTCACCTTCATAGCCCAGCTCTTCTAAAGAGTTCTCTGTGTTTACTGTCTCTGTCTCCTCTCATGCCCAGTCCAGTCTCCACCCCATCGGCACTTGCCAAGGTCACCCAGGACCACCGTGCTGCTGACTCTCCCAGACATCGCTCAGCGCCCACGCTGCTCCACCTCTCGGAGCAGGTATCTCTGCCGCCACTCCTTCCTTCCCGGCCCCTCGCTCCCTTCGCTTGCATGGCCACACATGCTTAGTTTTCCTTTTCGGCTCTCCTTTTCAAGCTTATCCTTCCCTATCTCACTTCTGAAGTCTAGGTCCGAGGCCACTTCTCACTGGTTGCTTTCTTCTTAAGGAATCTCATCTATGCCCATCTACAAGCCAGTGCATTTCCAATTTAAGGCTTTTGCCCAGACATCTCATCTGAACTCCAGATATAAATGGGCAGAACTGCCTACTTGAGATACTTGTCCACCTGGGTGTCGGGACATGTCCCCTCAACATGTCCCGATCTGAGCTCATGATATTTCTTGCTAAGGCTGGTCCTCTTCTGGTGTTATTGTAACATGGGGTACCATCATCCACCCAGATGTATCTGCTGCAGCACTTAGTCCTGCTGATTTGCCTTGAATCCATCCAACTCTTTTTATTCCCATCATCCCAGTTCAAGCTCCGCCTCTTGCCTGGAGCACAAAAACCGCCTTCTCACTGGGCTCATCTACTGTGTCTCCTCTGTAGCCTCTTCTCCACACGGCATCTAGAGCAGCCCCAGATAATTAAAATATAAAGGGAGCCACAAATGTAAGCCACATATGTCATTTTAAATTTTCTGGTAGCTTCATTTAACAAGAAACAGGTAGAATTGATATTATATTTTATTTAACCCCACATATTATCAATTGAAGATATAATTGATATTTTTAAATCGATGAAATATTTTATTCTTTTTTTTCATACTATCTTTGAAATCCACTGTTTGTTTTACATTTGCATCACATCCCTGCTAAGACTGGCAATATTTCAGGTGTTCAGTAGCTAAATGTGGCCAGTAGCTACCATACTGGACTGTAGAGATCTCCAATGATCGTCTCACAATGAATTGTGATCGTTTCACCCCACCCCATGGTTAAGCTTTTCTGTGGCGCCCAGTTGTTCTTAAGATTAGGATCCAAATATTTAACACAGCCTACAAGGTGCTGCGAGGTGTGAAGTGTGGCTTCCGCTTACCCTTTGGTCTCTGCCCCTTATTCCCCTTACCATCCTGTGCCAGCCACACGAGTCTATCAGCATCTCAGACACACAGTTTCCACCCGCCACAGGTCCTTTGCACATGCTGTTCCCTCTGTGGTCAATGCTACCCTCTACCACCACCCCCTCCTCCTCCATCACCACCATCAACTACGCCATCACCTGCACCACCACCGCCACCAGCACCACCTGCCATAGACAGCACTCATTCTCTTCACTCAGCCTCCACTCAGCCTCACTTCCCTGACTCTTCAGTCTAGATGCGTGTTTCCTTCCCTTCCCAGCATCTGGCTCAGTGTGTAACTACCTTCCTGTTTGTGCAATTGGCGCCCGTCTCTCTCCCTAGGCCATGACCAGGAACGCTGTTTGGTTTAGCTCACCATT